ACAGAGCTGCTCCCCCCATGAAAATCGAACAAGGCTTTGATGCCTGCCTTGCTTACTACAAACCCATTCTTCACTGATGCCGCTCTAGGTAGAAGATTGACTTCCGACCCCGTGTCGATCAAACAACGAGGGAAACGAACACCTCCCACAAAGGCAGGAGTATACAACAGTTTAGTGCTCATGTCAGCGGCAGATTGAACATGATTCACCTTTGCCTCTCCTCCATCGGAAGACGAAGAGCCGGCCTGTTGCTCCGAGTTTCCAGGTGCCTTCACCTCTGCCTGTTGCACTTGAGGTTCTTGGTTGGGGTTCCTCCAGTTCCACTTAGGATCTCTCCTTGATCCTCCTCTTCCCCCCCTTCCACCTGGTTGGAAGCTAATCACCCTAGGGTTAGCCCCCGTGTCTCCTGTTCCTGACGGCCCAGCATAGGGACGACGCACCATCTTCTCCTCAAGCTGTCTCCTCCACTGAGACATCTCATCCAGGGTCTCCTTCCTAGTTTTCTTGATTCCCTTATCGATCACATCCAGGGTTGTTGAGAGTTTGAGGACTGTTTCACTCAGCTCCGCAATCTTCTTTTCATCTTTCTCCTTCTTCTCCCTTTCCTCTCGGGTTTCCTTAGATACTTGCACCAGTCGTCCAACGGTCCATTTCCACGAATCGATAATCAAGTCAATCGTGGGAAGGTTTCTTATGATAGTGCAAAATCTCAGTACCCCCTGACACACCCTCTGAAACTTGCGGAAGAAATAGACAACAAAGTTTGAGTAGATGAAGGAGATCACCACTCCCAAAATGATGGAGATAACAGTGAAATGATCCTCTATCACCTTCCTTGCTTTCATCCATGCCCCAACCGTTAGACCAAGAGGATCCGTAGCCATAGTCCATGCCATGGAAAAGGATAGTTCCGATAGGCGGCCAATGTAGCACTGCACCGTAGAACAATCACCAAAGAAGCTGAAGTTCCCCATGCTGCTCATCCCCTCTTGTCTTTCAACACTAGGGAAACTAGAGAATCCACTTTCTTCCACTTGCTCACTGTGTTCATTTGAAGCTTTCATAGGCGACTCCAAGACAGGACAAGAGACACCTCCCTTTGAAAACAACTGCTCATTCACAATCCGCCTCATCATCTCTTGGTTCTGGTCATGGAGGTCTTGTACCATCCCCAACAATTGTCTAACCTCTTCATCCGTTGATGCCACCCTGGCTCCATGATCCTGCTTCATGCGCAACAACTCATCATAGGCAGCATTCAACTCACCGATCAGTCGCAACTTATCTTGAAGCGCCTCTCTCTCTGCTTGCAGTTTGCTATCCACAATGTCACCAGCACCCAACGCATATGCATTCAATCGCGTTCTCAACTCCTCCAGCTGGGTTTCCAAAAACTCCTTGGTGCGCTCCATCTCGATGATCTTCTTATCATCAACTGCCTTGGTCTTGGCATACTCATCCATGAGTTGAGTCTTCGCCGCCTCGGCTTCCCACCATTTGGTCCGCATCCTCTTTTTCTCCCGCACTTCCTGATCTTTCACAGTAGAAACACGAGCAAGTTCCAACTGCAAAACTCCAATCTGACGATTCTTGTCCATGGCTATTTCAACCAGTGCATTCTTATCCGCTGCCAACAAGGCACTCTTATCCACTTCCACATCCGTTGTAAGTGCTTTGGTCACTGCTGCTGCCACGAAATCGGCTGGGACAACATCACTGATAGATGTTGTCTCATCGTCATCCACTTGAGTCACATTCAAGGCTGCAACCGCCCCCATCCACACAATTCCCAACACCACACAGAACCAGACCATCCTGGCTCCGAAACCATGTTGATGGACCCTGTTTGTGACCGCCATGATATGGCCAGTAGGTCACGGTCCCCTTGAGACACCACCCCCTTGAGACAAAAGAGTTTTACAAGAGGTTTTTCACCACAACAATCACAACGACTGTTCCCTCAATCAAACACAGTTGGACAATCACCACTACCCTTGCTCCACTTGTCCACACCACGATATCGTCACTATAGCAAAGACAACCCCCAAACATTCACTCCCCAATCGAAATACCCTCCGTACAACTCCCCTGTACTTCACAATCTGAAGGGATCTCTTCCCCTGAGCTGGAATTCTCCTCCACCTCTCTGTTGCCAAACCGATCAGAATCCCCCTCTTTGTCCACTTTTCCTGAAGCAGCCGCCCGCACCACTCTGTTTTCCCGCAGAGTCGTTGTCAGTTCCTGTTGTATGAAGTCTCCGGCTTCCTGAAAAGAGCGCTCACAATCTGCCCAATGAGCAGCGAGGAAGGATTGTACTTCCAAGGGGAGGTGACGGACTTCTGGCACTGAAAGGATATGTGGTGGGAGATTCCTCTGCTCCACCCAAACACGTTCAACCGCCGCTCTCTTCAGGAAAGGGATTCCTTCAATTTTCTCTGGAGTTTCTGCCACCTCACGCCTTCTTTTCCGCTGCTTCCTGCTTTCCTGGTCAGCGGTCGAGGGGCAACAGGACACTTGCCTTGGATTTACCGTTTCCTGACTTTGCTGTGCTAGGGGAACACAGCTGACTTCCAAAGTCAACTTCAGAGATAGCTCAAGGGACATGCAATTTGATTCCGGCCACCTTTTTCCAGCCAGGAGTCGGTCAGAACAACGGCTCAACAATTCTGTCTGGAACTCAAAATCACGATGCTCAATCAGGCAGGCAGCCAACCTACAGGACTTACACAACGTCTGTACAACGCTCAACAACACCACAGAACGCTTTCACTTTGTCCACTTCCCTTTCTCACAGATCCAACTTCACCCGTCACTATACTTCACTCCCAACACCAACTCTTCACTTCGATCAGCGATTCCCAAAACGCCACACCGTCCAGCCCCGCCAGTCAACACCAACGACGGATTGCACCTTGGCTGCAGCTCCACAGCGCTCTCTCACAGCTCTGGTTGTCGTCCGTTTGGGGCGGTTCGCGGCGCTGGCTTTGGTGCTGTCCAAACTGGCCCAAAGCCAGCCCCTATATACCCCAGTTGCTAGGCATCACAACACCCCCCCTTCGGACTCTCCACATGCCACTTCCCACTGCGAATTCGCAGTGCGTTGGATCCTCTTCGCAGCGTCCTGAGTGAATTCCCAACGTTGGATTCCATCACATTATCATTCACCCACTTTGGTACCCGGTTACATCACCTTTCTCCAACCGTTTCACTAAAAAACATCACCACCCCAAGAACCAACGCACCCCCTCCTCTAAAGCCTTTGTGCATGCGTACAGGTCACTTCTCATGCATCTGATAGGGGTTACAATATCCTTTCCTTATTACCTTCACTTCCCCTTATCAAACCGTTTTCCCCCTTTTCCTACCAATCACAAACACTCCACGACGTTGCCACCGCTCGCATCGTGCTTTTACAATCGCTGAGCGCCTGCTTTTTCTCACCTCGCCGCCACAAGCTTGATATCGGGCGCCAGCTGATACTGCTTCCCGGCTTTCCATCCTCTCGACCGGCCGGGACGTGCATCCCTTTTCGGCTCCTCGATGGCCATGGAGGCCCACTCTCAGCCGACCTCGGCGCCTCCACCGCCTCTGTCCGGAGCTCAACGACGAGCTCCCTGACGGCCATCGCTGAGGCCGCGAGCTGGGACGACGGCCGCGCCTCCGGATCGCCTTCCGCCTCGCCCTTTTCGTGGCGCCATGCTCCTCCTTAACAACGACGCGCTTTCGATGCTGCGCAGGGTTCTTCTTGCTCGCGCCATCTTTCCGACCAACTTGCCGCCTCGCACTGCGCCCCGCCATTCCGCCAGCGAGCTCCATGGCTCGACACCTCCGCCTCGCCGGTCAGCTGCGCATCGGCTTCGAAAGCCGTCCCTCGATGTCCGCCACGTCCGGCCACTGTCGCCCAGCACAGTCGCCGGCGGTCGCTCCTTTCCGCGCACTCGCGCCGACCAGCCGCGCACTCCTGAGCAAGTCGCGCGCGCGGGAAGCATCCAAGGCGCAAGCGGCAGCTGACTGCCCGCCGGATGTTGCGCCGCATTAACCGGGTAATCTAAATCGTTTAGCGGTTTAATGAACTGGCCGCAGCTCGCTACGAATTGGCACCTTAACAGCTTGTTGTCTCGGTGCATTTTGTTGAGTGCATAACCAACGTGTTTTCAGCTTCATCTCTGGTCAGTCAGACGGTCAGAGACACACTCCATTCTCATGGACTTCATTGTGTCTTGCATTAGCTTTGTTCCGGGAACTTTAACACCCTAACTCCAAAACTGAGGTTAGGAATATTGGGAACGTGACTTAGTGCAGGGAGCCACCGATTTGGTGCAGGCAGTCATGTTATTTCGATCTGGGTTGGGGTGGTGACGTGCTTCGGGGTGCTTTGCGTCGATTCGTCCATGGCGCTGAAGTGGGGGCGGTTGATGGCGAGGCAAGCGTGGCATGTCGAGTGACAGCTTTGGGTGCATGAAGCGGCGGTGGGCCAAAGCGCCGCTGAAAAGCGGAGAATCCCCCCGGCAGATTGGGGACAAGTGGGCTCAATGTCGGTCGACCCTTGGGCAACACACGGGTTAACTTGTGGCTTGTGCTGCCGGGAATATCGTGCATGGTCGGCACCTTGGATCCCCAATTGTCAGTTCAGCAATTCGGGTCGTGATCAACCAAAGGGTGTGAAAATGAACCTTGTGATGCTTTCCATTTACAATGCCTACTACTGAGTTTTCTCCTCCCAGAACGAGCGCAGCCACACCCACGGCCCACTCCCAACATCAGCAGGCCGCTGTAAACACACGCGACGCACACGATTGTCTGTATCGACGCCTGTCCACCTTTGCCATCCGTTCGGCCACCCGCTAATTCACTCTCTCCGCGGCGCCCACAATCCATGCGAGCTGTTGTCGATGGCCACACCAACGAACCGTTGCTTGTCTACCTTCATCTACACCTACGAAAACACTCTCACACACCCCACCAAAGCCCCTCACCCAAATGCTCAAGACGAGACAGCCTTAGTCCACCTCCTCCATACGGGACCCCTCGTCTGCCTCCTCCTCGAGGTCTGGCAGGTCCGCGTCCACAAGCTCCTCGTCCTCGTCAATGGACAGGCCCAGCTTGATCATGCGATGGATGCGGCTGCCGAACATGTTGGGCTCGTCCAGCGTGAAGCCCGAAGTCAGCAGCGCCGTCTCGAACATGAGCAGCACCAGGTCCTTAACCGTCTTGTCAGACTTGTCCGCATCGGCGCGCTTCTGCAGCTCACCCATGATGGCATTCTCCGGGTTGATCTCCAGCGTCTTCTTGGACGTCATGTAAGACGACATCGACGTGTCCCTCAGCGCCTGGGCCTTCATGATGCGCTCCATGTTCGCCGACCAGCCGTATTCGCCCGTGACCAGCACGCAGGGCGAGTCCACGATCCTGTGCGACACCACCACCTTCTCGACCTTGTCGCCAAGGATGTCCTTCATCAGCTTGCACAGCGGCTCGAACTGAGCAGCCAGCTCCTCCCGCTTCTTCTTCTCATCTTCGTCGTCGTCCAGCTTAAGGCCCTCCTTGGTCACGCACACCAGGCTCTTGCCCTCGTACTCCTTCAGCTGCTGCACTGCGTACTCATCGATGGGGTCCGTCATGAACAGCACCTCGTAGCCCTTCTTCTTCAACACCTCGATGAAGGGCGATGTCTCCACAGCCTTGCGCGTCTCGCCAGTGATGTAGTAGATGGACTTCTGATTCTCCTTCATCCGCGTGACGTAGTCCTTGAGGGAGGTGTACTCGTCGCCAGACTTGGTGGAGTAGTAGCGCAAGAGGTCTGCCAGCTTGGCCCTGTTTTGAGAGTCCTCGTGGATGCCCAGCTTCAGGTTCTTCGCGAAGGCCTCATACAACTTGGCGTAGTCGTCCTTGTTCTCCGCCACCTCGCTGAACATTTCCAGGCACTTCTTCACCAGGTTCTTGCGGATCACCTTCAGGATCTTGTTCTGCTGCAGCATCTCGCGGGAAATGTTCAGGGGCAGGTCCTCAGAATCCACAATGCCCTTCACGAAGTTGAGGTACTCCGGCATCAGCTCCTCGCAGTTGTCCATGATGAACACGCGGCGCACGTACAGCTTGATGTTGTTCAGCTTCTTGCGGGTGTCGAACAGGTCGAACGGCGCGCGCTTGGGCACGAACAGCACCGACCGGAACTCCAGCTGGCCCTCCACGCTGAAGTGCTTCACGTGCAGGTGCTCCTCCCAGTCGTTGGTCAGCGACTTGTAGAATGCCGCGTATTCCTCCTTGGTGATCTCGTCGGGGCTGCGCATCCAGATCGGCTTTTGCTTGTTGACCAGGCTCCACTCGTGGTGCACCTCCTTCACCTTCTTCTTTTTCTTCTCCTTGGCCTCGCCGCCCTCCTCCACCTCCTCCACCTTCTCCTCGTCCTTCTCCTCATCCTCTTCGTCCTCGTCGTCCGACACCTCCTTCTCCGTCGTCTTCTCCGTCCACAGCGAAATCGGGTAGGAGATGAACTCCGAGTGCTTCTTCACCAAATCCTTCAGGCGGCGCTCCTCCAGGTACTCCAGCTGGTCCTCCTTCAAGTGCAGCGTGATCTTGGTGCCGCGACCAAGAGATTCTCCCGTTGTGTCGCGCGTCACGGTGAAGGAACCCCCCGCTTGGCTCTCCCAGATGTACTGCTCGTCGTCATGGTGCTTGGTCACAACGGTGACCTTGTCCGACACCAGGTAGGCCGAGTAGAATCCCACGCCGAACTGCCCGATCATGGACACGTCGGCGCCCGCGGAAAGGGCCTCCATGAAGGCCTTGGTCCCAGAGCGAGCGATTGTCCCCAGGTTGTTCACGAGGTCCGCCTTGGTCATGCCCACCCCGGAGTCTATTATGGACAGCGTGTTGTTGGCCTTGTCGGGCACGATGTGCACGAACAGCTCCGGCTGCCCCTCCAGCACGGCCTTGTCCGTCAGGCTCTGGTAGCGAATCTTGTCGATGGCGTCCGAGGAGTTCGAAATCAGCTCCCTCAGGAAGATCTCCTTGTTGGAGTAGAAGGTGTTGATGATGAGCGACAGCAGCTGGTTGATCTCCGCCTGGAAGGCGAATGTTTCCACCTCCTCGGCCATGGCTGCGCCCCGGATCCGCCTCTGAGGCGCAAACGCGGCGACCGGGATGAGAATTGGCTGGCGGGGCGGCGGGCGGGGCGGCGAGCTGGGGCAGCGCAGCGGCGGCGGGGTGGCAGGGGGTTCGCGAAGGGGGAGGGGGGGCGCCAGAAATAGGCGGCGGCGGGGGCCAGGGGGGGGGGGATAGAAACTTCCACACACTTCCAGGGGGAAGAGAGTTCCAGGAGCGGGGGAGAAATTGGGGAGGGAGGAAATTGGGCAGATGAGGGGTGTGTGTCGATCGGCACCTCGCCGCTGGCTCGCTGGCTGCGTATTTGGTGCGCGGACAAAGCTTCGTCTTATCTACTGGTGCAAGCTGCGTGCTTTGGACCAGTAGAGAAGCGGCATTTGGCGGTGCCGGCTGCGATGCCGCTCGAAACCAATTGATGGCATCACGGCCGATTTTTTATTCTGGCACGATCGCTGCGATGCCGCCACTTGTGGACATAGTGTCAAACGGGCATCGCAGTTGGCATCGCCAAAATAATGCATTTTGAACGTATGTTCTTCACCAGTGCTGTGTACCCCTGAACCCAGCTGCCAGCTGGTGGGAGTTTCAACGAAGAGGCGGAGGGGATAATGTGGTATCGGCAGGGGGAGGGGGGGGCAAGGGTAAATCTTCCTGCCCTGCACAGCCGAAGACCGCGAAGCATCGCGGCCTGCCACCTACGCTTTGCTGCGACCTTGCAACACTGTCCCCCAAGCCATCTTCTTGGCTCAATGGGATCCGATGTCGTTGCAAAGTTGGGGCGAAGCTCAGTCCCCACTTTTTCCACCGTGCTAGGGAGCCATGGCAGGGAGCTCCGTGACACACAAGGGCAAACACAGCAAGGTGATTCAGTTCGAATGCAGTAGGGTGCCCAGTGGCAAACTCCTACAACCAGGGGTCACAGGAAAAGCGCTGCAGGTTTTAGCAGTGCAAGCCTCCTGTGCAAGCCGCACAAAGCTCCCAGTCCCACTGCCAAACAACCTTGCCCTCGCGCAAATCTTTTGAACATAGACAGAAACTAGTTTGCATCAAATGAGTGGTCGGGAAGCACTTAAGAACAGCCAGTAGGAATACAGGTAATAATGTGCTCTGGACCGAATCGTTTGATCTGCACAGTGCTTTTGTTACTATTGTCAATTAAGCCTCGTCTTGGCTCCCTAGATTTCTCTGTGTTAGGCTACCTGAGGGTGCAAGGACAAAATATAGTCAACAAAAAGCACGGGTTAAATGTCATGCTTTAATCCATTCTCAACGCAGTTGACACCATCAGTGCATGATTTTCAGCAACTTCAAACGATTCAAGTAAAACATGGGCGAAACGCCCACTTTTGCTGGTTGATTTAGAGGCAGATGCAAGCCAAGGGCTCAAACATACAATATACTATTTTCCAGTATTGCGATGCTTTATTCGTTTCTTTACTTTTCCAGCTTGCAGAAAGACGTGGTGCGATCAAAGTTTGCTGGGACATCCTCTTTAAACTGCGGTCAATTGGTTTGACATCGATCGAAATGCAGCGCAGGTTAACGCACAAGGGAGCGGGTATGTGGATCAAAACACTGTGTTGGAAGAATGTTGGCAAATCTAATCAAAGTTCCCCGAGCTGTAGTTAACGGCGGAGTCGAGATAGCACTCCTCGCCAGGTGCGTTTGTTAAAAAAGAATCCCATCAGCGCGAGAATGCAGTGCCACTCGAGTACTGATGCACAAATCGCAGTGTTTGGCTTCCATTCTGACAGCATGGCTCGTTTTCAAGAAAGAAATTTTCCGTGCACATGGCCACATCATGGAGCGCATTGTCAAACAGTCCTCCGCATGGGACTAAACTCGTTCAAACGGCCCAGGGCGGGTCTGTGAGTCTATTCCCATGTTGAAGGCACATGGCTGCAGTCTCAGCCAGCCTGGCTCAGCCAGGTGCCCCATTGCCCAGACTTGATCGTTGAAAAGCACCCAAGTACCCGGGCTCGTTGGCGATCTGCAATCGTGGCTGGTCGCCCTGATCAACGTAGCGATCGTGCTGTCGCAATCCGATTGCATTGATTGTATGCAACTGCTCCCAGCGCCATGCAGCAGTGGCGGGGTTATCGCATACGATGGTCCACCCCAGATTGGAAATGACCAAGCGCTGTGAATGGGCCTCAGAGTGCGATCACCTTCAAGTTGCCACAACAGCACGTTGTAACGCGTTTGATGCAAAAATTGTATCCAAATAATTGGATCCCGCGAATTTGGTGTGCTCAGCGCGAATGCCAGGATGACAGCAACCTTACATGACAGTGCTTGACAATTTAAAGGTGTTTTCAAGGAGCACAGTCAGCCAGAGTTGCAGCGATTACAATGCGCTGGAAAAAGGGATGATGAGGGCCATTGGGGTCTTCTGGGGTCCTCATACAAGCTTCCACGCTTTATGGGTGGGGTGGGTGTGATATGGGGGATGGAGCAAACCACGAGTTGTTTGCATTGGATCAATGGCATTTCTGTGCATTTTCCCTACTTGCGTCGAATTTGTGTGCGAGTCCGCGGCCCCTCCACCTCCACCCCCACCCCCACCCCCACCCCCACCCCCACCCCCACCCCCACCCCCTGGTGCCAAATTGGCACCAAGCGTACCAATTTCGACATAGCGCCTTCTCTTACACGACGTGCAGCACCCGCACCGCATGGCTGTCAGCCCCACTGGTGTCGAAATGATAACGTGCATTATAAAGTGGTATTTGGGGGTTTTAAGAATTTGAAACTTGTTCTGACGAGCGGAATTGAGACATGATGAAAACTGGCGGCAAGAAGGAGGCATTTGCCATGCATTTTTGAGCATAGCGTAATTACAATGGATCCAGTACGTGATTATTGGTGGATGCAGTGTAGTATACAGTACTGGATACAATCCAAATTTGCTTGCGGAATTAAGAAATACGTAGTTCTAAGGCTTGCACTTATAGCCGGGTGTGCCGGGTTGCCACAAAGGGAGTTTTACCGTGATTGCCTAACTTAATGTGACATTTAGATTGTCTTATGCAAGTATCGAAATGTCAGTTACGTTATGCATGATCGCTATGTATTGGTGTGCACAAATGCATTAATGCACAGCAATGTTGGCGCTACCTGCCACATCTGACTCAAGAACTGTAACCACATTAGGGCACGGTGATGTGACGGCATCGCTTTAAGGTGTAGGGGACAGAGCGTCAGCCCTTCCTTGTCGCGCCAACCCTTGGTCAATGTGACAATAACAAAGACGCTAGCTGCTTGTCTTTATTTTGATATAGTTGCAAGGGAAAGACTAGTAAGAACTGAATCTTTTCTCTCACCACATTTGATGTTCAAATCGCAATTGATATATCCAGCGAAAAATAAGCATTTTGTCCAATGGCCGTAAGAATACATTGCATGTAATTTTGTGTGAGACGCACGTTCAAAAGAAACACTTCGATGGTGATCGCAAGCCCTGTCTTGTCTCAATTTGCTCGCGCAATCGCATTGATGTCGTGGTCACAAACGCTTCAATGTGCTGCGGCGGTTGAGTGTGCGCCTCTATTTGTTTTCAACGAATGCAGCCGCAAAATCTCAGTCACTTGCTTAGGAGTTGATTTGCTCTGGTTGCATTGATTTTAGTGAGAAACGGAAGGCGCAACCAGTATTAAAACACTTGGCAAGGTGTATGACTGAGAGGTTTCTGCGCGTGCGACTTGCTATGCTTCAAATTGGGGCCACATATGTGTGGTAGCCCTGTACAGGGCTTACCAAAGCTGAGCGATCTGCACATTGATTCGATGTCGGAAACTGGAAACCAGATAGGGTTACTAACAATAGTATAATCAATCCTTGAAAACGAAGGATATTAACATCTTTATATCTCAAGAAGAGCGCAAGGCTTAATATTCAGTATATTCGGTTGTAGTCCTGGTATCAGCTCATTTCCAAGTTGTATTTATTCTCGCAAACCTTTTCTGAGTTCGCGCAAGCAGATGCGTTTTACAAATTTCATTTGTAAACGTGCCATGACATGAGATGCAGCTCATGAGGCCATACGGAGGGCATACGGAGTCTAAGAATGGCACTCTTTAAACTCATTATGAGCGATGCACCACAAAGGCACCAGATCTCCTGTGGGGAAGGCCTTGCCTGCAATGTCTGCTCCTTAATTCGCGGCGCGTCCCTACCATTGAATTCCAATGCAAATCTCAGTGTAGAATCAGCTTGTGACAGGCTGGGAAATCTTCGAGGCTCATGGCAGGCCTGTTATTTACGTTTATGTTTTTACGTTTTCACGCGTACAGACGTAAATTTGCAAACGGGTCTATTTTTACAGCTGTGTACATGTCAGTACATATATTTACGTTTTTACGGCTCGTTGTTACGCCCAGTTTACACACATGAAAGTCGCGTACAATGATCAGCCTTTCACCCCCTTGAGCACCCATAACACAGCGTCCACCTCTCTCTCTGCAAGGGCAACGATGGCGTGGAGCAAAAGTTCTTTTTCTGCCCATAGCAGCGCGTCTTGCTGCCACTCACCGGACTCCAAATGTCTGTTGCACTGCCCTTATGTACACGGGACAATCTTTACGTTGTATCTACGTATTCTTATGCGTTTTACGCATTAAAACGTCAAATCAGTCTTTACGCATAAACGTAAATGTGATCAGTTTGTACGGCATAAATAACAACCCTACATGGCACTCTGCTGGAGGAAGCCTTGGGAAGAATGGTAGTGTGGTGGCATGATCATAACACGTGGACTGAATGTATGGCCTGGCCGTAAAGGGGCATCATTGTTTGGGATCCGTCTGCAACTCCGTCGCCTCCAGCTCTTTCCCAGACTGCCACCTCCACACAACTTCCCCAGTGGCGAAGCAGTCAGCGACCCAGCGGCGGCCTATGGCGAAGGTCGCCAGTGCCCAGACGCCGCAAACAATGTTTTAGGAAAAAAGGAACAAGGTTAAGTATTTATCGTGCTGCGTTGTACCACCTTTTCCAGACAAATACTTATTTGCAGTCGCGGCAACTCATTCTTGAAGAGTGCCATTCTGTCACTGACAGACAGTTCATTGTCCGAACATCCACAAGTGCGGTCCACCGCCAAAGTCGCAATGAAAACTTGGCTGCGCAAAATCCCAGCCTGCGCTGGCGATTTCTAGCCGCAGCCTGCCCAGTCAAGATGACGTCACCATGGGGCCAATGATGCAGCGACTGCGCATTCCTTGGTCCGGGCTGGAAGGTGTCACCAGCGCATTGTCCACGCCACACCGGGCCCGAACGTGAGGCGCCCACGGCCGGAGGAGCCCCAAGGCGGCATGAAAGGCGCGTCGCCGTCCAGCGCGCCAGCAGGCGCAGGCGCGCTCTTTCGCGGAGGTGAGAAGCGCTGAGCGACGAGTTGGGCGCGGATCGGTAATCGCTTGTCAGCGCGAATGGGGTCTCGTGTGGGCGGTCCTAGGTGGAATGGTGCTCAAGGGATTGGGCCGCCCTCTTCCTTGCCCCTGGCCGGGTGGTTTGGTCGAGCGGCGGGACATCCCAGCAGAGGTACCCGGTCCGATACCGGTAAGACATCCTCTTTGCCATCCGCACTAAGGCACGGGGGTTAGCCCATGGCGCCGTGACGCGTCATCGGTAAGCCAGGAGAGGGCGGGAAAGCTCCGCTCGCGGCTGCGTTGCGAAGGGTGGACCGGACATGCCCTATGCGGGCGATTGCTTTTGTTTTCGAATGCCTTGTCTCGCCGTCGCTCCGCTGCCCTCCGTGCGGTCCGGAAGGGATTGCGCTTTCTCTGGGCGTCGGCGAATCGAATCCCGCGAGGCTTTTTGCGTGGCGACGATCGCCGGGCGGCGTGGGGCGCATCGGCGCTGGAGGCAGAGGTGGATGGCATCCGCCCATTGCGGGGAAAGTTTTCGTGTGCGCCACGTGCCTTTTAGCTCGACTGCGCCTGTTGTCACCTCGCTGGCCTTCCGAAGCGTGCGAGGATCGTGCAGTAGAGGTTGCGCCGTTTCTTGCTGCGTAGGGAAGGGCGTAGTATGGCTGTCTGCCGCAATGTGTTAGCTGGGCCATGAGCTTTGCCCTTGCGGGCATGGCAGTCTTGCTGTGCAGATTATTTTGGTTGGCGATGTGCTCCTTGATAGCCCGTCCAGTAAGATCCTGACCGCTGTGTGCGCTCGCGCGGCAGTCGCCAGGTTCAGCAGCGCAAGGCGGCCGGCGGTCGATCGAGGCCAGGGCACCATGGCTCGTGCCGAAGGGAACGGAGGTGGGGGGAGTGGCGTCGCGGCTGCATTGGGCGTTGGATTTGGCAGTTGGCTGAGCGTTGCGGCTGGAGGAGGAAAGATGGAAGTGCAAGGCTTGCGAGTGTCTGTGCTTTGTTTCTTGAAGCAGCCTGTTGCCCTGCACGATCTCCAACACGCAATAGAGGGTCAATAGTAGTTAATAGCAGTCGTGCATGTGCTGTGCAGAGTTACATTTCGTTGGCAGCGAGAGGTATGATGTACCAGCAGAAGATAGTATCCAATAGCCTTTTAAGGTCGTCCATTCTGGCTTCCCACAGCTGGTGTGCCAGCTCCGATTCTGGGGCGATCGTGTGGAGGCATGTGTAACACTGTCAGAATTCAGCAGTTGGGACGTTTTTTGTGTGTGCCTCAGCATCTGAGGGTCGGCAGCCTTGGGATGTGTCTCGCTTTGCAAGGACGGTCATGTTCTTCAATGAGACTTCCCCAAGCAAAATCCTTGCAGGAATCCTGGAGCAGCCATTCAAACTCATTCGCAGCTTCATGGGACCCCAAGACTTGGAGGTTAGTCAAGATGGCCAAAAGCCAGCAAGGGCAAATTGCATTGACTCCGTTGCACATAAAACAGAATCAGCATAATTCACACAAGACAACTGGAAGTGTATCAGCAGGTAAAGTGCAATAGATGTACGAGTCATGAACAAAATGCATCTGCAGGTGTGCTAGGACAAGAAGAGGCACAGAGCTTCTGGCTAAGGGCTGCCATGGTACTGTTTACCCAAAGTCCCATGTCAAAAAAAAAGAACGAAACGCATCCTGCAGGGTGCTCCCCTCTTGTGTTGCCAAGCTCATTTCCGTATTGCCGTAGGTGAATCGTAAAATTCTGATAGCAATGGGAAAAGCATTTGGTAGAGTCCCTTGCTCATCTAGGTGGGTGCATTGTAATATAGCCAAGAGTGCTAGACCAGCTTTGCAGCAGTTGTGTGGCGACTGGTGTTTGCAACACAAGTCCTGATCAAGAGCTTCATGTTCTCTTCAATGCGTGCTGCCGCACAGGAGAGCAAGACAAGTGTCCTTCGTGTTTTGGCACCTTCTGTCCTCGATGGTCCCGATCTGACCTTGGCTGGAAGCAAGCCGCCCATTGATGGCATCATCCTTGTGACAGGTGGGTTTGGATTCAAAAGGGTGCCCATCAACAGACACCAGTCATAAGTACCTCCTGCAGTTTTACACATACGTTGATCTGCGATGTCTCCCTGCATCCCGTAAACTTGGGGTGTTTTGGAGGTGGAGTAGTAGCATTGTGCACGAGGGCAACGTGGTGTCAATTTTATCAGTCTTGTCCAGATGTGGCTGACCTGTCCATCTAGGGCCATGTTATGTCTGCACTTGCCCTTTTCCATCCACTTTGGATACAATTGCCAAGAATTGAAGCAGTTCTGGCATTAATCTTGAGGGCAGCAAAATGGCAGGAGGTGCCTCTCCTTTAGTTCCAACTATTTCAGCATGCACTTGGGGGAAAGTTATGATGCAATAGCTGGCAAGACAACATTGTCTTTTAGCAATCTGAATATTGATTTTACGGTAGGCACCATGCCTGGGCAGTATCTGTGGAGTTGATCTGGTATTGTGTTATCAAAACAGGAGCCACGGGAGGTGTGGGGTCACGGGTGGTGGCTGATCTTCTGAAGAGGGGAGCAACAGTGAGAGCTCTTGTCAGGGATATGGAAAAGGCAAAGAAAATTCTGGTGGGTGTCATTGGCAAGAGCAGTCCTTTATGCTCAGTTTTGTTCTGTTCTTTAATCTGCTGAGGAGCATGGTTGCCAGTAATCAGTGTCAAATCGTGTTGTTGTTTCCATGTTTTGGTCCCACTGTCGCCACTGCTTGCTACACAAGTGTATCGAATTCCTTTGGACTGTGGCCCAAGGTTAGACAGTGCCTTGTTCCTTGTATGGCGATATAGGGCACATTAACCTTGCAATTCCTTGTTCATTCCCGTTGTTCACACTTCTGCAGTCCACCTCCAAAGAGAGCTCCCTGTTGTGTGCTGTGGGGACCTGAACGCTGCCACAGTGGGGCCAGTGGCGAGCTACCACAACTCACAACTTGCCTACATGTGTACCAACAGCGTGGTGCCAAGGCGTCCTGCTCCACAGGCTGCAGTATTTTCAGTTTCCAACTGGGATACAAGCCCTCACAGCACCTCAGCTGCATGTGTGGCAATCTTAAATGTGAGTTGCCACTTTTGTTACTTCACAATCCTTGCACCCCACTTCACACTGCACAGGAAGCAGCTCATTTGTTGCTCGTTCGTCTCACTGCCGGATTGAATCCAGCAAATTTTGCTTGTTTGGCAGGGAGGTTTGCCGTGTGCAAAAGGAGGTTCCTTGGATGTTGCTCTTGGGGACATCACACAGAAGCAAACGCTGCTGCCAGATACCTTCAAAGGGGTTCGGGCCGTCATCATCTGCTCCAGCACAGTGGTCGCGCCAGTGGAGGGCGACACTGCGGACAGAAAGAAGTACAGAGTGGTGGGTGATGTCATGGAGTTGCAGTGTCATCAGATTCCATGCAAGTCTTCTGGCTACCTTCCCACTCTCAGTGCCTTTGTTGTCCATCGCTTGAGATAATGTGCCAGAATGGGACAGTGGTATTGCACAGCCCTTGCAACCTGGAGACGGCAACTAGGCAGTGTCAAAACTATGCTGATAGGGAGCTCTCCAATTCATCTGTAGCAAGTTTGATGGATTGACTTGATTCACAGCAATAATTGAATATCTCTCGTTTTTGAGTCTCCATTGTTCAAGAGCCCAGATTCCGCTTCCCCCCAAAGGTGCCAGCACTTTCCAAATGGGAGCCAGGAAAAGATGGATCTATTGATATAATAATCAATTAATGCAGTACAGAAAACAACGTACTGGTTTTGGCACGCACTGCTGCCATGCTCAGATCATCGAGTAGCATCGGTTTTCCGGAGACCAGCAAGGACCTCACGATGCTTGGCGAGTAGATACCCGACGAAATGTTGCCAAAGAGGCTGATATGAAACATGGCCTGCAGGGCATCAAATTCTACGACCCTGAAATTGTTGGCGACACCCCTGAGAGTGTCGAGTACGTTGGGGTCAGGAACATCGTTGAGAGCTGCAAAGACAGAGTTGGCTTGGAGGCAGGTGCAGCGTTGCTGGACCCTTCAACAGGCACACTGACACCTGAGTGGGGCTCGTTGGATGATGTCGTCATGGGGGGATGCAGCGAGAGCAAGATCGAACTGATGAAGGGTGCGGGAGAAGATGGAGGCATGGCGGCTGTGTTCAGGTATCTGATGGCCTTGCTTTTGCTCACAGTGGTTTGTTCTGGTTGTTGTTCCCATGACATGAAGCCCTCTGCCTTATCAGCTATAGTATAGGTTTGTCTATCCGTTTCAAAGCATGCCACAAGAATTTCGACAGAGATGCATGTTCACAATGAATGATGCATTCCATGCCTTTTAAAAGGATTGTCCTCGATGGTGGACTGTGAGTGTCTTGACTGAAATAGATCTTTTCTCGAGTTTGCCCCAGGGCCAAACCAAGCGTTGATGGCATAAAAAAGCACACTGGTTTGGTGTTGTGCAAAAATCTTTCTCTTTTTGCTCGTTTTCTTTGCCATTTCTGTGCAACATGAAGAATTAGATTGTGAAAGTATCCTCTGCAGACACATATTATAAATCGATGTCGAGAAACGTGCAATTTCCAAGAAGTTTCTTGTCTGTCCCAGTTGTCACCGTTACTTCAGTCCACATGAGGCATTGATCCATGAACATGCTGTTGCTGTTTGTACTTTTTCTTGCTGCCAGTTCTTATCAAGTATTTGTTCTGCACCTCGTTGACTGACAGCTTCTGGTTCGGTCGCTTGTCTCCTGTGGACAATATGCGGCAGTAGCACCTGCAAGGCCATCACAGGCACTTCCAACATCTGCATTGTTGGCTCCCAGAATATTTGGCTCTGGTTTCGATGCAAAATTGTTTTGACAGCAATTTGCAGATATCGCGCTGCCGCAGTGCTGTATGCACGTGTCAGTTCGCCCGTGGGTGCTTTCTAATTGCACATGGCTGCAGCTGTGCCAGAACTGAACTCGTTCTTGCTCACGACCCAACAGCGGAAATGTCACCTCGGCCAACAATGGGGGATTTGCTTCTGTTCGGAGCAAGAACTTCGCCCCCGCAGTAGACCTTGGTGCATATGAGGGCCTTCAGCTTCGACTCAAGGGCGACGGACAGAGATACAAACTGACCCTCAGACAGGACACATACTGGGATAGCCTCTCTTTTGTCAGGTGTGTGGCCATCTCTGTTGCTGAATAGACCACGTGTTGGGGCTGAGGGCTCCAGACTTGCATTGGTCGGAATTTGCGCCCTTCCTCAAGTCGAGAGATGCTGGACACATGCATGGGTTGTTGGACTGCACGCTTGCACAAACTCGTGGGGATGGAGGGACTTCTGGTCAACCCTAGCCTTGCCAAACCAGCGCACCTTGAGCAGAGATGCTCTCAATAGCCTTTCATGTTGTTCTCCTGCTGCACGCAAGTTGTACTTCAGGGCTATGTGCAAGGCTATGGTCACAGGGAATGAAGATCGCCCGTCAGATGCAGTGGCACCCACCATCGCCTGCAATCTGCATGTGCTTGGACTCGCCAAGTGGCGCTAATGCAATGCAATGCACGGAATTGAGACAATTCAGACGTTCAGACATGTGGAGTATGTGAGCTGATGTATGGCGTTCGCTGCATGTTACAGGAGTTTTGACACGACTGATGGCGAGTGGCAGACCATCAAGCTGCCGTTCTCAGAGTTCAGGCCCGTGTTCCGCGCGAAGACCATGGACAACGGCACCAAGTTGGACAAGTCGTCGATCACTTCGGTGCAGATCATGCTTTCTAAATTTGAGTATGATGGCGGGCTGAACCCAAACATCCGCATGGGAAAGTTCTGCTTGCCTGTGGCCTACATCAAGACCTACCTCAGCCAACCAGTGGTGAGCTGCCCCGCCTGAATTGCCCGCCGCCTGCTAGGCGGACTGCACCCTGAGCGCTGTGGCGCTTGGCACAACAGCATCCACAGCAACAGGCGAAGACTGGTGTACTCTGTCCTACAACTGTGCTAGAAAGTTGAATATTTATTGGGTGATTGCTAAGGCACTGTCTGGATTGCATGAAGCACTCCCATTCAGGCACGCGTACCGCTTCAATGCACGACATGATGCAATTTGCGCGATTTAGAAGCAGGCAGGAAAGTGTGTCCAAACGGACTTTGCTCATCGAGCTTACCGCGGTTGTCCCACCACAGAACTGCGCTGTAATTAATTGACGCTCCCTGAAGGCACCTTCCCCTGTCCAATTCTGTTATCACGAGAAGTGCGGCATACATGTTTTGAACGCCAATGACTGTTGTGTGCATTTATGGCGTCTGGTGTATTAATGCACATTTACAGTACATATGATGAAAATTCATGTGCATGGGCGGTGATTTGTCACACACATTGGCAACTTCAATCAGCACGTACTGCAGAAATAAAACCATGGAAATGCAGTTTTGAAACATGAAATGAATGAAATATGAAAATGAAATGCATGAAATATGAATGAAATATGAAATGAATGAGACGAACGAAATGAAATGAATGAAATATGAAAACCAAAAGCAACTTTGCCTGTACGCAGACGCCTCGCATTGTGCTGCTGGGCAGTGCTGGTGTGACGCGGGTGGACCGGCCGGGCATCGACAAGGAGCAGGAGCCCCCGGCAGTTAAACTCAACGAGGCTCTGGGCGGCATTCTCACCTTCAAGCTGAAGGGCGAGGACGTGGTGAGGGGCAGCGGCGCGCCCTACACGATCGTTCGGCCCTGCGCCCTGACAGAGGAGCCCAGAGGGGCGCCGCTGGAGCTGGACCAAGGGGATGTGATCAAAGTGAGTCGCCCTATGATTCAGTTGCCCTGTCACTGAATGCAATCAAGGCATCAATAAATGCGATCAAGTTGGGTTGCCCTATAATCCAGCCGCCTTGTCGATCAATGCGATCAAGGTCACATTGAATGTGATCAAGGTATCGTAGGTTGCCCTGCGATTCAGTCGCCTTGTCATTGAATGCGAGTGGCGCCGGGACCTGTGCGATGGCATCGTTGCGCCAGCAGCTGAATGGCGTTGCCGCGCCAAGAGTTTGTCCAAGACGTGGGGTCCGCTTCGATGAACGTTTGGTTGAAGTTGACTGGGGAGGTTATACGAGGAGGGCGTAATTGGTTCAGCTGCTGGCACCTTGAGGTGGGGGGCTGTGCCCAGGGGCTCCATTAGAGCTCGCCAATTTGCAGCCAGGAGGGCTTGAAGCGTGCTTCTGCCTCCGCCCTTCGACAGGCGTTGACTCGTAAGCAAACAGGCCAAAATAACGGTTTTGAAAATCGTGTTAAATCGTGTCTATCGTGTAGAAATGGGGCTAAACCGTGTGGTAACGATTGACGTTTTGATACGGTTTTTTACACGGTTCGAAACAGTGTATTTTGGCCGGTTTTTTACTGGTGGCTGGGGAGCTCCTGCCATCTCGTAATAGCACTGGCCGCAACACCAGGCACATTTACAACGCTTTTGAACCGCCCACAGCGTGAGGCGATGATCTTGTTGATGTGCATTCCCATGGACTGCACTCATCGCATGTTGAACTACTACCCCCATGGCTGTCGCACGATAAGTGATGTTGTGTTTCACATGTACTAGCGTGGGCTCCGAGAGTCGCTGTGTGCCACTGGCACCACATGCATACCATGTGCTCTCGCTGTTGCAGAACGACTGTCCGCTTGTGGTCACTCCGTTTCTTTATGTTTGAAGGTTTTCACCTGTCCATGAAAATGTGTGCACGCATTCGAATTTGAGTCGGGAGGATGGTGTTCAAGTTTTTCCCGGACATGCTACGTAGTGTGATAGGATTGTGAAGCACCGAAGGTGGTGTGCACACGAGCGCGACAATACTGGCACTGAGGAACTATGTACACGCGCAACATCATATAGTAATGCACATATCAACATGTTTTGATGACGCGTATTCAAAGTGTGAGCGCGGTAAAAATGACGCAGTTTAGTCCATTCAACACGAATTGAACGCGAAATTGAGCTTTGTAAAGCGGCCGGTTGCATGCCCGGGGGCGACGTCTGTGGTGGCCGTGCAGGGAAAGGTCAGTCGCCAGGATGTGGCGGAGCTGCTCGTCGAGGCGCTGAGCCAGCCTTCCGTCCTTGACACCGCCTTCGAGGTGAAGTGCACCTTGCCGTTTTCTCAGCCGTACGAGCCAGAGGCGGGCGCTGAGGGGGCACCGCGCGACTGGGCTGCCCTCTTGGAGGGCGCCAACCTTCGGAGGGGCGTCACTGGCAAGACCATCGATGGTGTCTACACGGGGCGGTGAGGCTGTCTGCGCGTCTCTGTGGTTCGAGCGCACAACGTCGCATTTGCTACACCACGTACCGCGAAATAATCGGCCCCCTCGCGTCACAAAATTTCACCGTTGCTGTTGATTGCTCCGCATTTTTTCGACAGGCCGTTGTTTTGGGGCTCCGCATCATGGCCGCAGCCGAAATGGCGACTCTCCTAAGCCCGCCTGGCCTCAAAACCCGGTTTTCGCCACAGCAACTCATGTATCTGGGGCCGCTAGACGCCACGAGCAGTCCAGAGACCCTCGCATTGTGCCTTTCGCGCCCTTCACTCGAACCCCAGAGTGTTGAACCACCTGACTGGCGGAGCCATTACGAAGAGGGGTCCCCGGTTATGGCATCAGTCGTCTGCAGCACTGGGGAATAGGTCGCACGTCAGTTTCTAACGGTTGGAATCCCATTGGGATCTCGTCAGCATTGGAGCACCATAGGAGCCACAGAGGACGAATGCGTGGTGTTGCTGATCAGACTCCTTGGTGGGCACGGCACCCGGCGGCATGATCCCGAGCTCGAAATACTCCAGCGTATCTGCATCCCCGATGTCCTCTATCTCACCCCTGACTGCCAGCCCTTATTTTACCCCAGAGGAGGAAACAATAAATACATAACGCTCTTGATAAGATTTATGCGGAGCAACGTATAAGAATGGAAACAACGCTGTTAACAACAATGCTGAGCAAAAGGCGTAACGGTAAAATTGCTTGATGCGGGAGGCTTGAATGTACTACGGTGTTTTGTGGTCGCATCAGAGGCTGCCGTTCACTGCCTGTTTGGCTTGCAGTGTTTCGCTGCAGGTTTGCGGTCACTACCAATGGACAAACCGTTGGTGATGGTACCGTGATTCGTAACCTGTGCCCGGACAACTGGTGTCCATGAGTTTGTTCTGAGTCGAAACAGCAAGCTCTTTGGGCCAAGGCCGTGTGCTCTTCGTTGCAGAGTGCCCGAGGAAGAGGCAACGGCATCGAAAGGCGCGGAAAAGATCTCCCAGTAGCGACCTTGAACAACGTTTTGGTCATTTGATGATGTCATACGATTAACGTTTTGGTAATTTAATGATGTCAAGCGACGGCTCGAGGGGGCGCATCGTGAGAGTATTGCCAGGCACTCATGAAAACGCCACCGGCATTTGAGAGGACGACTGGAATACCAGATACAGTGAGCAGGGCGATTATGATACGGGCTCTCGTTCAGGGGACCGACATAAGGGCCCCCTTCGATTTCATTCGATTCTTCGATTCTTTCCCGATATTCAAGAACTTTTTGTGATTGGCATGCGTGACATATGGGTTGAGGGATTCATGTGGTTTTGTACGGCACGAAACGATGACCGTCGATCGTGGCAGATCTCGCACGTTGATAGCCGTGTCACACCTTTGTTCATCAGTGGGCAAGTCTGAGGTGGTGGTCGGGTACTGAGAATACTGGTTTGTTTTCGTGTTACCCATCGCTACAAGCGTTACATGGTGGGTCTTCTTGGCAGTTTAATCGTGGCAGGAAATTGCCAAGGAAGGCGGATCATGGCTACATCTGTGCTCCGCGTCATACCCCAGACGAATGGTACCGAATTACAACGAGCTGCCGTCACCAGACTGTACTTCGAGATGACTGTGAATCGTATTGTACTGTAACCGTGGGATTCGAAGCTCGTTTTATCACAATGTGAGGATGCACACATACTCCACTGTTGCTATTTGCTCATGATGTACGCGTGCTCATTGTGCAATGCTTGTCAATACACCAAACGGCAAGTTTTGCACCGTGCTTTGCTGATATTCGACAACCAGAGCAGTTAAAGTGTTTGGCGTCGCCAAGCCACACTCCCCGCTGGTAAAGGCTGACTCCAGGCCTGAGATGTTCAGTCCACTGTGAATTTGCAGAGCAATCTGTCAGTGGAGATCCTCAAACAATGCGCCAGCAATAGGGGTCACAGCATCTGCTGCATTGCAGAGTTGCAGGCGAAAAGTGCAACATTCACACCGGGTTCCAACCGGTGACCTCCAGTACCACCCAACAACCGATCGCAGGTCGCCATAGTCGTCTTCACAATTTCTCATCACTCCCAGCACCAACACACTTCTGCAGTGCCAGCAAGCAAGGCCCCTCGAAACCCAGTTGAGTGGCGAGGGCGCCATCGCAACCTGTTGCAGCAATGGAATTCGGTGCTTAATGGACCTTTGGCACAGCCTTGACTGCACACACTGCTGTGAAGTCAACAGCCCAGCCTTGTGCCTTATGTGGAGAATCCTGGAAAGGACTTCTCTGAACCTTGAATGAGATTGGGATTTGAACATGACACTGGGACACGTCATTGAACTGACCCGAAGGAGACAGCCGCCTGCAGGAGTTCACACCTGCATACCGGCTGCAGTTCAACAGTAGCTGCTGCTCCTGGCGGAAATCAGCACATCTGAGCACAAGTTTCAGCATCCAGTGAAGCACCAAGGAACATTGCTACCACCGCTGCGCAAGTGCAAAACATAAACTGGTGGGAAGACACAGAGGTTCTGTCTATGTGCGTGCAGACATCGACACATAAGTGCAAGGCCACTGCCTTGGCATAACAAGTCCATCTACAGTCTGTAAAGTGCAGCCCACCGTCTACCTGGCCCATGTCCTCTGTTGACATGTGCCACTTCGCATCACCATCTTGAGGCACGGTACAGGTGAATGTGAGTTGTCATCAATGCCTTGATCCACAGTGCTTTGTCGCTTTGACTGCACCCTCTGGCCTCGCTTGCACAGCGCAGCTCTGACAACGTGAGTTCTTGGTCCTCAGGAACTCCTGCAAGGCTGGGTATGCTGCTGTCAGTCCAGCAGAGGATTCGTGGTTGACAGCCGGTTCCTTCTAAGCAGGGGGTTGTGGTCGGTATCATCTGCAGTGCCACCATCGAAAGCGTGCGAGAGGGCACGGCGTACAGTCGCCTTTCTGTGCTGCTCCTCCCTTTGTTGCCTGCAGGCAGTCTCAGTTTCTCAGACACACAAATTGTGCAAATAACGCAACAAGGTGCATATTGCCGATTATTGCGCGTAACATTCGCCCCTCTCCTTCCTGTCCAGGGCGCACCTTGTTTTTGTGGATTTCGATGTACATCCAATCACAAGCATGCATGCGGTGCACCTTCTTTCCTTTCCCACATTTCTTGTAGGGCTCAGATGGACATTGCTGGCCCCGCTAAGGCGATGGGTTGCTGACCTATTGGAAGATCTGCCACCTCAGGAAGGGGACACAACATTCTCCAGTACTTGCATTGTATTGCATGCAGTCTGACTGGGAGCAGCAACGAGCCACACAGGCACACACCAGCCCCAGCCACTTTGTGATTGCTATCATTGGCACAATTACCAAATGGCAGGGCATTCATGTGCAGAATGCTCTTCTAATTCTGGTACTGATCAAACATTTGGCCTCACAACCTGATTTCGTGCGGGTATGTATAGAATGTACAACACTGTCAGATCCATCCAGCTCCCACAGATGTATATACCCCAGCAGCAAGCTGTCATGCTGCTTCTCTTTGCATCCTTGTCCCACCTCTTCAGTTCCTCCCGGCGCTGCTCTTTTTCTCGTTTTCTCTTTGCGCAAGACAAACGCGTTTGATGGCCCAAGGCCGTTCCCTTTGCCTCTCTGGGCACCTGGCCGCTTCTGGAGGCGCCTGGAGGGCCTTCGTCCAGTCCCACATCTTGCGGCTCCTGGCATCCAACGCCCCTCCTTCCTTTCTGGACCCATGCCTTCACCGGCACCTGCCGCCCCTGTTCATCCACAAGTGTGCAAGCCTCAACCCAACGAGATGTTAACCGACAAGAAACTAGAGACCTAAACCTTGCATCGAACTGCACTAGACAGGAAAACACAAGCAGGCAACCCATGAACAGACACTTCTCCCTGACAGCATGCTTGATTTGCAGGATCTGTGCTATTTCTGCTTGAGGTGGTTGCTCTAGTTGCTGGTGCTTTTTGTCTGGTGTTGGCAGCAGGACTGTCAGCGGTGGAGGGAATTCTCTTCCTCAAGAAGGGATATCTCAAACGTGATCTTTCCCCGTTTGTAGAATCACTTGGTGTCTTTACCTGTCCATCGGGCCCCAGCCCAGTGCCTTCAGTCCATCCCGCCTTCTTCAACAGGCTGTAGCCAACATTGTCCGCCTTCAAGCCACATCGCTGCGACGAGGAGGCCACACACCCTCGGCGTGTTTCTGTGCTCCTGTGCATCATAGCCAGAAACAAGCATAAATATAAAAAAAGAAGAAAAAGAGAAAAAAGGAAAAAAAGAAGCAACACACTGCCGAGCAGAACGGTGGCCAGCCAAAAACATTGAAACAGTGTCGGATTGCTTTGGGCCCTTGCACCCTGCAGGCGATGATGCCTAGCACACATCCGAAACGGAGTCTGTCCCTTGTTCGCTCATTTCTCCGCTTGCCACCCGCCTGGCAACAACTGAATATCATGGTGCCCCCCTGAAGTGCGAACGCTTGACGCTTTCAAAGATGCCTTTGGCTCTCACTAGATTCCAGCTTTCGTTCGTTCGACCCATTCGAAGACACTTGACGGGCCGCGCAGCTGACGGTATGTGGCCCGCGACGTCACCAGTACACAAGCCCGCTGCTCTTTCTTTGTTCACCGTCGCATCCCAGTGCTGCTGCGCCCAGACTTCGATCAATTTCAACTGCAGCACTGTGGAGAAGGTTCTCGATTTCTTCTCCCGCGCGAGCAGCTCCGTTGCATTACTGGCCTTCTCCTTCCGATCCTCCCCTGCAGCGATTTCTGCCCCACTGTGCCGCCGCGCCGCACCTGCAAGTCACCTCCCTCTCCCGCTCGTGGCCACTTCCTAAGACGCCCCCCCGACAAAATGAGGGCGCTTGGGAACCAGCGGACGCCGCGAGGGCCGCCTTGGAGGAGCCCGGCGGGCCGGGCGCGCTCCCCATGGCGGGCTCCCCCCAAGACACCACTGCTCTGCCGAATACTTGGCCGCAGTGGTGGGCTCGAACCCAGTATGTAAGCGCAGTGCTGGCACGTGGACGCATTTCGCGATTTTCTCCGGCGGCCAAACTACTATGGCTTGGGGATAATGCAGTCGCAAAAAAAATGGAAAGAAATTGCCCCGTCCACATTGGCCAACAAGTGCGCCAGGTACACCGGTTGCGTTGCCTCAGCCCGCCGCAGCCAGAGCACCGCCGGCCGCCGCCGACGAGCCAAGGTGAGTTGTAGCGGCCGCCCCCAACACCAGACACTCGCCCACGGCCCCCAGCCATGCGCCCGCCCCTTCCTGCCCATGCGATCGGCCCTCAACTCTTTTCATCGCCGCACAAGCCTGTGCGCGATTGATTCCCCGGCCAGCCATCGGGGACCCGGCCGGCCAATTGCTGACGCGCGTGGGGCCGATCGCCGCAGATGGTAGACAAGAAGCGGTCACGGGACGTCGTGAGCCGCGAGTACACGATCAACCTGCACAAGCGGCTGTACAAGACGCAGTTCAAGAAGCGCGCTCCCAAGGCGGTGAAGGAGATCCGCAAGTTCGCCCAGCAGGCGATGGGCACCACGGACGTGCGGCTGGACGTCAAGCTGAACAAGGCCATCTGGAGCAGGGTGCGCACGATGGCAACTAGGCGCCCCCTCGGGGGGAGTGAAAGCATTGTGGGCTGCTGGGGGGTTGCCGTGGCGGCGGGGCCTGGCGGCGGATTTTGGGTGCGATTTTTCGTCTGTTCTTGCGATGGATTGGGAATTTTAATCCAGGGGTTATTGCGCGTGGCTGCCGCCGCAGGGGATCAGGCACGTGCCGCTGAGGCTGAGAGTGGTCATCTCGCGGAGGAGGAACGAGGATGAGGACGCCAAGGTGGGAGGGGGAGCACCGTTTTTCAGGGTGTGGGAAAATGTGCTGTGAAAATTGGGGAGGGCGGCGCCGACTGTGTATGTGTGTGAAATCCGGGACTTATATTCGTCAAAAGCACGCGACAAAACAAGGCCCTTGCGCCTGGGGAGGCGATGACGGGCAGGCTCGACTGTATGGCTGGCTGCTGTTGTTTGGTGGAAAGAACGACAGAGGGGAGCAAGGAGGCGACGCCTTTCCGCAAGGACCTTGAGGGCGAAAAACTTCTGGTTTGGACATCCGACGGCTCGGCGGCCCATATTCTCAGGCCTCGGTCACGAGTTTGCTGGCGATTACCACATCTCCAGCTATGCCTGCCAACTGTGCCTCATCCGATGCTCGCTCCAGCAGTGCAGTGTGTTGTCATAGTTGATTGGACTGCATTGACTTTTTCATCATGGAACATCCTTCCGCCGACATCCCATGCCAGCTGATCTCCCAAAAAGCTTGGAAGCTTGCATCTGCTGAATCCTGTAAATAGGGCAAGTGTTGTGCACATGCTCCATTGCAGTGTGTACCTCCACTTTCGTTGCGCCTGGCAACAGTCAGGCAATCCATGCACATTCACCTCTTTCTGTTTATTCCAACATAACACACCATGTAGTTGTCTAAGCAGCTTATGAGGGGACAAACGTAGACAAGGTACAGGCGTGCCATGAATGGAGTGTGAGAAGAGCAGGCATTGGCCCCAGTTGCCAATGGATGCTGCTGTTGCTTGGTATTGAGCAATGGAGAAGGGGATAGGCATCAAATTTCCTTCCACGCTCGTCTTTCAACAGGTGGTACCAACAGCATTGCCCATCGGATGCACAGTGATCTTTCGTGCCTGGGCAAATGCTGTCAGTAGATTCCACCAGCAGTGGTTATCATTATTAGAGGCACATTGCCTTGGCCACAGAAGGGGACAGATGGAACAGCCCGCAGCCCGGCAAAAGAGAACCCCTCTTGTGCCCTGACCAGCTGCTCCAGGGGCAACTTCCTCAAAGGAACAAAGTCTGTTGCTGTTTTGGCACCTGCCTAAGATGGACCTTTGAAGGCTCAAGGCGAATAGCAATCTCAGTTGCGATGTTCTTCCTCAGTGCAGTGCTTCTGCACTCCACTACAGCGGTCTTCAGCACAGGGGCTTGCTTGCCAGTGTCCTCCATCGTTGAAGGAATATTGGGGCAAGCATGGCTTGGTGCACAGAGCAGATTTGGGACACACTAGAACATGGAACAAGAGAAAGTGTGCGTGGTGGTGCCGTGAAGACAATTAGGACGCTGCTCAGGGCTGCAGGGCAGTTTGCAATATGTTCCAGCAGGGTGCGCAAAATGAGTCCGCTTTTGCTCAGCTGGAATTGTGCTTTGGAAGCAGAGAGTGGGTACACCCCAGCAGATTCCCCTATCTTTCTGTGTAGGCAAGTCGACTCAGATTCGGTGACAAAGGACACATTGTCTTTGCCTCTGATATTGAGTGTCGGCTTGGCACTGTCTTTAACAGTGTACATCAGCTGTGCATGTCATGTATTGCCACTGCCCATATTGAACACGTACATATTGTACACGCAGTATCTGTTGATAAGGACATACGTAACACACCATCGCTGCCATAACCAGTTGTCCAAAGCCCTCGATTTTGGCACAAAACTGCATTCGTCTCTGCCCCGCCAGCCTGCGCAGATAGTGGTACAGCGGAACAGGAGACACAGAGTGTCTTGCTGAGTCCAGCGAGGAAGCTCTGGCTCGTATTTGTGTGTAATTGCTGTATTAATATGTACATACTATTTGAAAATGCTCATTTGTTTTTTTCGTGGGATCGTAGTTACCAGTCCGACGGCCCTCCCCGCGCCCTGAAAGAACCCGCCGGATCAGCCGACCCTTAGGCTGGACACAAGCTGGGCTAGCCCGAAGGGGCCAAGGGGCCTCAGGGCCCCACAGTTTCCTTACCTGTCAATATATACTTATTGTATATTATATATTATACTGTATATATTGCATAATTGTAATTGCTCCATTCGTTTCGTTTTGTGTGGTGCTGAGGCTGGGCTTGTCCTACAACCTGCAGGAGGATATGTACTCTTACGTGACGGTTGCTGAGGACCAGACAACAAAGGGGAGGGTCACGAAGATTCTTGACCAGGATTGAGGTTCATTTCTGATGCAGTGTATTTTGGTGCGGAAGGGGCCATGCACAGAGCCTGGATCTTGAGAAGAAGCTTGTGTAACAGGATTACAAACTGACAGTACCGTTTGGAGAATGCAAAGCAGTGCTTTGCGAGGCAGTCCTTTCCATTGAGTTTGCCATGGTCTCCTTGCTATTGCACTTTGGCCTTGCACCGTTTGGGAGCGAGACACCACCACTGCACCCAAAAGACGATGCTGCATGGTGAAATGAAACACTGTACTAGCAACTAACCAAGCTGTGCATGTCTCATTATGGAGCCCACATTGTTTCAGCACTCCCAAGTCTATGTGTTCCTGACCCGTCTTACACACAAATCGGCATCCAGAGCTGTGTGCTTGAGCAAGTCGCTGACTGTGTGGCCCGCGCTGGGCTTAAAATTGTCAGGGGATTTTGGTCAGGAGTTTTAGCTCTGGCTCTGCAACGCTGTATTTTAGGGTGTCCAGTACTTTCGAATCCCAAACTATTCTCTTGTGGCATTAGGGCTGTAGTGTAAGAAATCCAGTACTTCAGGGTACTGCTTTGAACTTTGTGCTTCAGGCGCCAGGTCTGTTACCAACTGATGCCAGTGTGTTGTGAGGCAAGCTATATATTCCAGCCAATCAGGAAATGTTACGCATCGAGGAAAGGATGCAGCCAGCAGCCAGCAGCCATCAGCTATCCGCTTGTGGAAATGCAGTACCAATGACTGATTTAGAGGAATCCCGTCGCATAGCTGCAGGCAGATGCAGAATCCAGCGAATCCGTCAATCAAGTCCTCTTACTTCCCATAATAGGCCGTCAGTGTAATGCATAAGAAGAAGTGTGCTTCCAAGGCAACGAAGTGGGCCACATTGGTTCGACACTGCCATGAAACCCCTTTCATTTCTGGACTCTAGTACTGGTGGGTTGTGCCGCAGCGGGGGAGGGGTGTGTGCTGAAGCCTGCCACATCTAGATTGTTGAACTGAGCTGGTTACCATTAACTTTCCTGTGCCACAGCATTAAATCAAATCATGGGGTTCATGGTAGGATTCTGTCAGTGCTCAGACCTTGGATGCTGACAGAATGGAACGAGTCTCAGGCATTGCAGGAACACAGTATCGTATGGCAATTGCTTGGACTCGAGTGCGCTTGCACACATGTGGGGTTTACAAAGGGTACCACACCACTCCCTGATTTTGGGGAGACCGTGCTACCCCGCACGTCCCTTCGCCAACACCCCATTCTTTTTCGGCACCTTGGTGTCAGATGTCGTGCACGCCATTGCTGAAAAAAATGGAAGTCCACGAAAACCAAAAAGAGGCATTTGTCTCGTTTTCTTGCATCCATCCATAGATGGACGAGACAGATGAAATGCAGGGCTGGATGGTGCTTGGGCGCTGGGCGCCATGCAGTCGGTGCCACCATCATCATTCATTCTTACATAACAAGGCAAGGAATCAGCCATCAGCTCCCTGTTTTTCCCGAGCAAAGCAGTGTCCATGATCAGTTCATTGAAACTTTATGTATGGCACAAAGACCACAAATCCATCAATTCCCATTGCCAGGTGGCGTTGTCGATGGCAATGCATAGAGCGAAGTCGGTGGCCCCCATCATTCATGCTCACATAACAAGGGAAGGAGATAGCCATCAGCTTCCTATTTTGCCCGAGCCAAGCAGTGTCCATGATCAGTTCATTGAAACGTTTTGCATAACACAAATAAAAGCAAGGAAGTTCATCAGTTCCTGAAACCAAGAGGCGTTCGCCGATGGTAAAAAACAGAAAGAAGCATCCTCGCCAGTCGGCGAGCGGGGACTCAAGCAGAAGGGGTAGTATTAACCCCTGCACGTAAAAGGACGAATCCTGCCCTTGTATGGATGGACGTTGCCTCAAGTCAGTTCGTCGGTCCGTGCCAGCAAAACGTGTGCCGGCAGTGGCTGGGACTGGCATTTTGGGGGCCTGGGGGCAACATCCATCCGTTGAAGGTTAGCAGTCATCCGTGTAAGGGCAGGGGTTAATTCGATGCCAAAACCAAAGGCGTTCGCACCGCGTGAAGTCGGTGTCATCATCGGCATCATTGGTTTTTTCCACTGCAAGGCAACGAGGTAGCCGTCAGCTTCTATTTTGCCCAAGCAAGCGGCGTGCGTGACCAGTTCATGGACATCTAACGCATGACACAGAGTCTGGGAATCACTGAGGCCCTACTGTGAAGAAGCGTTTGGCGGTGACAATACATCAAAAGCAGTGTCTTTGCCAGTTGGCGAGCGGGAACTGGAGCTAAAACGAGCTGCTGGCATTGCGACGTCGGAAAAGGGTTGGTTGGCTTCAACGAACGCCATCATAGGCATCACGGGGCCTCGTCACCGTCCCGGCACCGTCGCCCCAGCTTCCACGGCCCCGGCATGCACACGCTCCCATCTTCCCATGCGCGCCCCCCCTTGCCACGCTCTCCTCACACACCCCGGACAGAAACCCCGACCCCCCAAGGCCCCCCCCCCCCTTCCCCGCGGCCGCCGCTCGAGTCCCTCGGCCCGCCAGGAAAAAAAAAGGCAAGGCGAAAAAGAAAGAGTATCGGATCCGCGGCCGAGCCGATCGACCGCCGGGCGGCCGGAGTCCGGGAGGGGCCGGGGAGATTTGCCGCGGGGGAGGCGGCGGGGCGAGGCGAGGAGTGATTGGATCGGCGCGGCCGGAGGCGGCCGGTGGAGGCGGGCGGTCGGGCGGCCTGCGGATGGGGTCGATGGACCGGCTGAAGTCCCACCTGCCGGCGTCGTTCCGCAAGACCGGGGAGATGTCTGGAGCAGAGAAGGTGCGGTGGAGGGCGGGTGGTGTGTGGGGGGAATTGTGGCCCCGGGCGGCGATCGCGCTGGGACGGGGTGCGCCTGCGGCGAGCAGGGCTGCCCTCTTGCGCCTTTCGGCGTTTTGGGGCCGCCGGGATAAAATGAAGGCCAGCAGAAAAATTGGGGCGAGGGGGGGCCCTTCCAGGGTGTCCGCGGGTGGCTTCTGCGTTTCTGTTCGCTGGCGCGGAGATGCGGTGGGCTTGAGCTTGCAGGCCGCCAGCGTGATCGCGCGGAGGATGGCTGACGGGGTTTTGCCGCGCGGGGGGTTTTGCCGCAGGCGGAGTGCGCCAAGGACAAGAGGCACTGCCACCAGAGGGCGCAGTCGCTCGCAGGTGGGGGTCCCCGGTCGATCTCCCGGCGCCCCGCCCTCCCTGTCGAACTCCCGGGCGCAATCCCCCGCGTGCCAATCTGACGCGCGACGCCTGGGACGCCTCGCAGGGACGGCCGCGAACACGATCTCCGCAGCAACGGTGAGTGCTCCGATCGAATCATCCCCACCGTATGGCGCCCCCGCGCTTTGGAGGCGCGGGTTTGAAGGGGCGGGTTTTGCTTTTGTCGCTGTGCACAGGTGGTGGGCAATGAGCCGCGCGGCAGCGGTTTGACAGACGACGCGCTGCCCCAGGTGCGAAAGGGGCCGAACGGATGCCGTGGGGATGCCGGATGGCTTGATTCGCCGGCGGTGGCGCCCGCTCTTTGCCGCCGTCGCGCCCATTTGAACGGGCTCGGTTCCCTGGGAGGGATGCGCGCTCGCAGAGAGGGCGGGGGATTGCGCGATCGTGGGCGATTGCAGGCACGCGCCCTTCAGGAAGGTGTGTTCGGGTTGTGATTCGATTGCGAATCCGGTGGCAGCCGCGCGGGCGGCGCGCGCAGAACGGCAGCCTGAGAGAAGGAAAGGCAGAGAGCCCTTCGATCGCCGGGAATGGGCGCGGATCCGATGGGAGGGAGGGGGGGACGACCGGGATACCTGGAAAGCAGGGCTCCCATTGAGGACGTGGAACAGTGGTTTTAAGATTGTCGTACAAACGTGACTTTGCGCGGCCAATGGCGCCCGAAGGATCGTGCAATCCGCCCCGTTGAGCAACTTCTGTAGCTCTTCATCACTAGCTCTTCGCGGTTGTACCCTTTTCCAGCCCTGGGTGGTGTTGCAGACGCATCTGTAGTGTGCACCCATTTCAGCTGGCTGCAGTCCAGCCTGCCAGCACGGCTTTGAGCACAGGTTTTTTGACCTGTTCTCTGTGGCCCCTTCTCGTGCATTGCGATGGTTGAGCAACACCTTTGCCAGCGTGGCACAGGGCACCTTGGAGGTTAGCAGTCCTCTGTTGTGGCCCAACAAGGCAAATGAACCACGAGGTACTCTGCAGTACAGAGTGTAGAAACATGTGTTGGGATAGCGAGTGGCCGTTGGTGCGAATGTTTTTTCCTGTTGGCATGGTGCGCTTGCCGTTTTCTTGGTGAATGTTCCTGCATCACTCAGGAGACCTGTACACCGCTAGCCATGGCAAGGACAATGCTCTGAGAAGTAAATGTGCTCAGCAGTCATGTGCCAGTGTATCCAATGTTTTCAGTCTTGTTTTACAGAGTTTGCAATTGCTGAATTGGGTGCCGTCTCTGCAATCCTCCTGCAGAGGACACAGATGTGAGGAGAAGGGAAATATTCATATGATGTCCATCTTGTCTTCATGTCTCCATATCTATTCCTGGGGAATAGGTTTTTTTGGGCACATGCTCCTGTTTCTCCCTCCATCGTGCTTCTTGCCACTTTCCAGTTCTTGCATGTGCGTACAACGTGGAATGTGGTTGGCATGTGCAGAACATGAAGAACCTCAGCATAAGGGACGTCAGAAACCAGACGGAGCAGAACGAACGGGTAAGAGGCAGCATGGGTCCAAGGGCAGTGCTCTATCACTCTTTGGTAACAGCAAAGTGCTTGCCCTGCTTTTACAGCTGCTGTACCGTGTCAAGTGCTCAGCCACAAACTTTTTATTCCAAAGTATTCACCTGGGCACTTTGAAATCTACCTGTTGCCGGTCTATGTCGGTCCGCAGCCGCCATCGTATTTCAAGGTGCTGGAAGCAAACGTGCCCTGCTCAGTTCTGTTAGATACACTGATGGGCAAATGATGCAACATGTGACTTGATTTTATGGTGCCGCTCGCAGCATGGAAGGAACAGCTTTTCAGTTCAGTGTATGTGTGCAGAAGTCACAAGGGGTGCTGGTCAGCAGTGGTGATTGGTGTGTTGGAAGATTGCTCAACTGTCCTTGCCATCAGAGTGCACCGTAGCCAAGCTTATTGTGGCTGATGCGATCCGAAACTTCACATTGGCTGGAAAGGAAAATGACAAGTTCCAGTTTTGTTCAACTGTCCCATTCCTTCGCCTTGCCCCTAAATTCCATTACGTAAGCTTGCCTTGGTAAAACAAAGTGGGCCCTTGCTGCTGTGTCACAGGTAGCAGAGGGCAAGGTGCGTGCAAAGGGGAACGCCAAGGGGCATGGTGTCGTCCTGGAGACAGCAGTGAGGACTGGAGAGGGTGGCAGCCACACCGTGACGTACACCACAGAGAAGGTGGTGGGCAACGGGTCCTTTGGCGTCGTGTACAAGGCCTCCTGTGTGGAGACGGGGCAGACGGTCAGTGTGTGGACATGGTTGGTGGCGCACAGCACACAGTGCAGTAGAATATGGCGCGGCACAGCACAGCACAGGGTAGAACAGTACAGTGCAATATGGTACAAAATGGTGCAGTGCAGTACAGCAAATACAGACATTGCAATACAATATTGTATTGTCCTTGATCAGGTGTGAACAGGGACCTCGCACTGCTGCAGGCAATGGTAGGCATTGACGAACCCGAAGCACTTGTTTGTTCCCTACTGTGCAGTCCCTGTTGCAATTTGGAGTGGACATTGCTCCCTTTAGGGATCTGTTTGTGGGTAATAAATGCACTTGATATTAGGGTGTGGACATGATGTGAACTGATAATCAGCACCAACTGCAACAGAAACGCTTCAGAGACTCCTGGACTCTCAGCTGTCAGAATGTTGTGAAACAAAAGAGTCTCCTTCCACATGCGCTCAGGCCACACCATGGTGGCCTGCATCCCCTTGCACCAAAGCAAAAGGGTGGCGAGTCCTCCCTCAAGCACATGGGCTCACCAATGTGTGCTGAAGGAAAGAAAAAGCAGCATATTCCCTCACCCCAGAAAAACGCAAGGTCCAGATATTCAAAATTCGTTCTTAATTGGTTCATTGAGGTTATGCAGAGTTTGAATAGGTTGCAAAAACGAAAACTAGCTCGAAAAGACTGTTCGAAAAGAACTGGGCGACTTCCTCAGTTTACGTGTGTTTGGGTGGCGCCTTGCCCTACGCAGTCTCCTCTACTCAGAGTTGAATGCTTTGGCCAGAATTTCAAGAAAACGTATCTAAGTGATGCATGTGCGGCTTTCCCAAAAAGGCAAAATTCAATTCAGGACAGAGGAAGTATGGCCAACACATGGGACTCACCGTGACAGCATTTTCTTCTCTGGGGTGGTGCGGTGCCTTGCCACATTGAGGCAGTGGAGGGCGATTAAACTTCTGTGGTACTTGTCTGCCCCCGTGTAGCGCATAGCTCCACACCCAGCACTGGCAAGAAGCATGGCACACAGGGACTTGGCATGCATCGAGTTTGATTTGTCTGATACACATGATACACATTGGGTATTAAAATACGTTGTGATATGCAATATTCCCTTTAGCGATGAGTATGTTAGTGTCTTCAGTATATTCAGTGTATATCTATACATTGATGAGTACATTAGTAATGAAGTTATTCCTGGTAATTACGCAGCGCACACGATGCTTGATTGGTTCACAAGTCATGCAGTGCTGGCCACTATTTTGGTGCCAATTTTCAGCAGTACAGCCTGCTGGTACAAAGGGCCAATTTGCCGTCGTCTCCTTGCAGATGTCAGGAACCTGCTGTTTCATTTACTAGAAGTGTGCATGCAAAGTGGCAAAAGTGCAGCATACCTGTCATCACAATTCGTCATCCACATTGGGCAATGGAAACATTGACTGGTTTGCTGCAAAGGAATTCAGGGCAATCACAAAATTCATCAGTAGCAATTTATGCCCACACTGGAATCTGCAGGTATGGCAGGGCTACCTGCCTTTGTTCTTTCCAGAGTGTTGCACATCACATGGAAGAGCTGGCATATGGAAGCTGAAAGAATACAGAAAAAAAATCAGCAAATAACACGGAGACTTCTGTGCTGCCTTGCAGGTGGCCATAAAGAAAGTGCTGCAAGACCGGCGGTTCAAGAACCGCGAGCTGCAAATCATGCGCCTGCTGCAGCACCCCAACATTGTGTGCCTGCGGCACTGCTTCGCAACTCGGGACGAGGAGGGGGAGACCTACCTGCACTTGGTTCTGGACTACATACCCGAGACAGTCTACAGGATAGGCAGGCACTATGTCAAGAACGCGGTCAAGATGCCCATGCTATACATCAAGCTGTATATGTACCAGATCTGCCGAGCCCTGGCACACCTGCACAAGATGGGGATTTGCCACAGGTGGGCGTGGGTGGCCTTGTGAAACGACAGCTTTTATTGTAGCTGTCAAGATATGAAGCCATGGCCAATGGCCAGGTGTTTAGAAGGGGATAATGGGCAACATCCAGATCGGCAGTGTACTTTCTTTGAGCATTGTCCTAGTTTGCCAGTGCATCTCTAACCCAGAGCAGGCTCTGATCAGGGACATTGCCCCAGCATTCCTTGAATGTTATTGTATGTGTCATCTGCTGCAAGGTGAAAGGACATTTGGGGTGCATGTGTTGCCAAACTCACTATTTGATGAAACATGAAGCAAACTAACTAAAGGGTATTGGCAACTGAATAGGCTACAATATATATGCACTGTCAACCAGGCCCTACTGCTTTGGCACTCAACCTCGTCTCTGTTTTGTATTTGCTGTCGCTTTGTTTTGGAATTGTGATGCATCGCTGTCTTGGCACCCGCAAGATTGTGGCAGAAGTTATTGTACCAATACCTGTATGACATATTTCTAGGCGCTCTAGAATGAAACTGTTTGACTGTTGATGCTGTCACTCTATGGTGCCAAATAAATGTTGTGCAAATATTGCATCACATTCAGGAATTTAGTTGCCTCTCTTATTCAAACGGAAGTAATGAGCTCGTTGCGGCACTTCAAAGGGCAAGTGCAAGGCGGCACAATGCCCCCAACATTGATAGCATAAAACTGAATGTATGATATCGAAGAAGAGAAGTTTGGCAGCCTGGGAAACTGCTGAGTGACCAGAAACTGTAACAATCTCACTGGTGCGCTTGTTCCAGTGATCCTAATCGACGGGACTGCAATGTTCACACATCACCCATGGCAAGCCCAGTGCTGCTGCTGTTTATTTTGACGTTTATGCCGCTTATGCAGGGACATCAAGCCACAAAACCTGCTGGTGAACATGGAGACACACCAGCTGATGCTGTGCGACTTTGGCAGCGCGAAGGTGCTTGTAAAGGGAGAGCCAAATATCTCCTACATCTGCTCCAGGTGCGTCTAGGACAAGTCACTGATAACACCGAATGCGATCCACAATGAATATGACATAGAGAGTAAGTTACCAACCACTTGGCTGTTGATTGATAATTGAATTAGCAGGTGAATTAAGCACAAAAGATTGCACACTTGCACAAGGGGGCCATCATAGGCATGCATCAAAGCGTCGTTGCCCTGTGGACAGTTGATGCATGAATGCAACACCCGGGCAAATGCCTTGTACTTCCAGTGATAGAATACAGCGCCGCATAAGAGTTTTGTCAAGTCTGCTGCTGGGCAGGTTGTCGCTATGCACTGTATCTTAACCCACCAGCCTGAAACTCCTGAAACATTCTTCCAAACCTGCCAGTTTTCGAAGCCTCGTGCTCTCCTGCCCATACTTCCGGCCCTGGGCTGTATTTCATGGAGTGTTATGTTGCATACGGAGAAATTAGATGGCTGCATTGGTGTGCATGTCCCAGTGGGGTGCTGTGGCCTGCTGCCCAGCTACTGTGGCTCAATTGCATGGGCATCTGACCATCAAGGCATAGATCGTTTAGAGTGATCTCAGTCCATATCAGTGTTCAATGCAAGTCTCTTGCCAGTGCCGGCACTATGGGATCATGAAAATGTCACTGTTCCATCTGCTCAATAATTGTGGTACTTATTGGTGGTGCTGCATTGCAGATACTACCGTGCACCAGAGCTGATCTTTGGTGCCACAGAATACACTACAGCGATCGACATGTGGTCCACAGGATGCGTGATGGCAGAGCTCATGATCGGCCAGCCCATGTTCCCAGGTAGATGATCTGTGTCTCCTGCTGCAAAATCTGGAGTTGTTTTTGATTCCATACCAGAACATTGCAACATTGTTCGAAATCATGTGCCCTGCCTAAAAAAGTTCAATGGGCCCTCAGCCCTACTGGAAACTATTCCTGTTGTGATTGGTTATTGGCAATATCACATCTAGTTCTTTGGAACAAAATATATGACCTGCGATTCATATTTTCGCATCAAAGAAAGAAGAGAAGCAGTAACATTGCTATCATTGCTGTTGCTGTCATCAGTCGACTGTAGAATGCTCCCCCTTGCGCCTCCAGGGAGTTGGCAGGTGCAAGTCCATCCACAGCAAGTTCATCATGTTGCAGTGAAACATTCTGTAAGGGAGGAAACAGCATTGCAGTGCCACCGTGTTGCAGCGCTGCACAGTTACAGTATTTTTTTCATCTCTGGAATCAAGTAAGCGCAACAAGACAGCAGCACTCATGTTTGCACACCACTTTAGATGCATTAGTGCCCCGCTGCAGAGAATTTCGAATCTCAGTTTCCGAGATTGTCCCTTTGTTTCAAAGCTTCTGCTCATTCGAAATTCTGTGCTCTCCTGCTTTCAGGAATGGATGTGGTGTGACCTGCCTGCTTTGCTTGCTTTTGGCATTGAACATGTCAGAATCGAATCGTTTGACTCACTGTGCTGAATTTGCCCCTGTATCTGTCTTTGGCTGGTGGCTTTGACCAGTTGTTTTGGCTGCTTCCTTTGGCTTGGTGATCTTGTGGTGACAGGGTCATGAAAGTTCAAATTGGATTGCACCAGCTTGAGTTTCGCTTAAATTGGTGTTTTGGAAAGCAGGGCGAATGGTCTGGCAGCCAGAACCATCATTTCTACCCTTTCTGCTGATCGCCTATCACTTCCCAGCTGTTTTCTGTACAAGTCTATGTTCACCTATGTTGTTTCTGTTGTCGTGTATGTGTCTGGAGTTCATGTTTCATTCTGGCCCGTTTAGGGCTCTGTTCAACTTCTCTGCTGCATGTTCCCAGGGGAAAGCGGAATCGACCAACTGGTGGAGATAGTGAAGGTGCTGGGCACTCCCACGCGTGAGCAGATCATCTCCATGAACCCAAACTACACCGAGTTCAAGTTCCCACAGCTGAAGACGCAATCCCTGCACAAGATGTTCAAGAAGGTGCCAGCGGAGGCCGTGGACCTGGTGAGTTGGCTGACTGACCCGCTGGCCCAGCCTTTCAGGCGAAGCTGCCATGAACTGATCAGCTTGGATGTTGTGAACTCACAGCATCCCACGTGTACAACAATACACCCGTGTGTGCTTGGACATTCAGATACGTGTTTGAGTTTTTTTTGGACATTTTGTTTTGGTTTGTTGTTTGGGTACCTGCATCGGCAAAACTTGGAGCAAGTGTCGCCCATGCACCTGCAAGATAATGCAGGGCACTCACCCCTGAGAGGGTGCTCTGTCAAGGCTGTGACAACCTTGCATTGCAGTGGTTTTAGCATTTGTTTATTAATTTTTGTTTATTATTTATTTATTTATTGTTTGTTTGTTTGTTTATTTATTTATTTATTTATTTGTGTGTTTATTTGTTTGTTTGTTTATTTTTGTTTGTTAGTGTTGTGCTGCCGCTGAACACAGTTTACCCTGTCCTGCTTAAGCGGCAGCAACCACTGCTGAGTCTGTAGCAACCTTTGCTGGACATTGAATATGCAGCACATCTGTGCGGCCCCGTGCTTCCCCTAAGCTGCCAGAGCGTGCAAGCATATCGAACCAGAAGTAAAGACGACCAGTGCCATCCTCAGAACGACCAGCGAACCTGTGCGACTGCAGCTGAGGAGGGTTTTCCCTCGCCGAGGTCGCAATGACGCTGTTTGCAGCCCCGCTTCCTTGTCCGGCGATATGGGGAACTGACTGGCCGCTCCATTAAGACGCAGCAGCCCGAAATTCTCCCATGCACACAAGCGGCTTTTCAATCCAGTGCCCTTTTCCCTTCAGTTTCACGACCTACAGGAAGTTCATGTTTGGCGTTGTGCGTTTGTGGCGTTGAGGGCTTTGTGTTGCGCTTCCGCAGGTGGCGCAGTTCCTTACATACACTCCTTCTGACCGCATAACGGCCGTTGCTGCCATGGCACATCCATTCTTCGACGAGCTGCGGCAGGGGTGTGGCACATTGCCTGACGGTGAGTCCCGAAGCCCATTATGTACTACGCCCATTCGCCTTCATGGGCATTCCAGGAGACTAAATTGGTCTCTCTGTCTTTTCCGTGAGGATCCCTTCTTCTTCCTCTGGCAAGGCCAACGCCAGTCTATGGGTCAGTGGTTTAGGGTTGAGGGTGTCCGAAACAAGAAGAGATCTTCACGGAATGGACAGAGGGACCAACTGCATGCCGTGTCCCAGGCCATAGAGCCAGCCACGCCAGTCAACTCAGCAAATGGGCATTTAACTTCGTGGCACTGCAACCAGGGCTTTGTGTTCTGATAATAACCATTTTGATGGGAAGCACTGTCTTGGGAAGCACTGTCTTGGAAAGGAAAGCGGTTGTGTGAAGCTTGTCCAGTGCTGCACGGAGAGATTGCGACTGCTTGTCTTTGCTCCCAGGACACAAATACGTACCAATCGAATGTGTCAATAGGACTTTGAGTGAATGGATGGCAACCGCTTGGCGGATGTAAGGCAAAGGATGCCGAGATGCAGTCGCTACAGACGTCCTGCCCGCTGTTGAGATTGCACCAGGATGGTGGCAGCAGCATCTCGTACATCCGTTGCCTCGTATGCCTCAAATCTGTCAAATGATTGTGCGCATTGTGTTTTGGGAAGCAACGCACATGCTTCGAGGAATGTTTCGGATGTTTTGAGCAATTTTTAAGGGTTTTTTAGGATTCTTTTACAGGTATTCAGGATTTTTAGGATTTATTAGGATTTTAAGGACCTTTTTAGGATTTTCAGAAATTCACAGTATTCTTCAATTTTACTTTTAGGACTTTTTAGGATTTTCAGGATTTTTTAGGATATTGGGGATTTGGGGGGATTTGGGGGCTTTTTTTCTCACTGTAGCGGCATTCTTGTGGCCCATGGGTGCGGGGGCAGGTGCAACACGCCGCCGCGCTGCTGAGCTCTTCTTAATATTGCCCTGCAGCATGTGCGTTGTTTCTGTTCAGTTTCTTGCTCTCTCTGCGAAGCTTCCTCCCCGTTTCTACTCAACTTCCGCGCATTGTTCCTGCAGAATCCCCGACAGGCCAGTGCTTTCACGGGCGATCGTAAACAAGTTGACTGACTGATCGATGTTCAAGCCACCGATAATGAATGCGCATTATCAGTAAAGGCTTCGTATGTACTCAGTGCTTATTTCTTGATGCTTCGTACTCCGCACCGCATGGTCCATATTTCATTTATCATACCTGATTGACATGTGTAATGGCGCATTGATTGATTGAATAAACTTGTCCACACAACCGTGACCCACCCCTCTCGTGTGTCCATCAGGCCTCCCCATGCCACCGCTCTTCAATTGGCTGCCCGGCGAGTTGGACCGCGCGGGCCCCGAGCTTCGAGCTAGGCTCAGATGCGCCAGCTAGTCCGCCGCGGGCCGATGGTCAATGCAGTCAACGCCCGGTCAACGCAGTCAGCGCCGCCGGCTGGCGGCCGGGCGGCGGAAATCTTGGCAGCCGATCGAGTCCGCTGCCTCGGGTGTTGGAGGGGGACGCGCCGCTGGGGCGTGCATTGTTGCTCACATGGGGTTTCTTGTATGCCATCAGTCCCTGCGCTTTTTTTCGTCGTTCGTGTGGGATGGGTCGCCTTGTTTTTGTTTCTTTCGCCGGGGGCTGTAAGAACAAAGGCGCACATGCACACATTCACACATGCACGCATTCACACGCGCAAAAGCGCGCTCACGTCACGGTTGAATTAGGTGGATGGCGCTTTGTGGTTTGGCCGCCCGTTTTGTGGCGCGTCCGGGCCTCGGTAGACAAGCGCTGAGTTCGGAAGTAGTCGTAGGCTTGTATTTGACCACCAGGCAGCGGCCCGATCATGGGGTCACCCTCGGATCTCCCAACCATGCGAAGCTCAGTTGTCGTGCCAGATAGGTTGGGAGTGGGCGTAGGGCTTGTGTTTGGCCACCGCCTGGGCCGCTGCGGCGACGCGGACCCGAGGGGCGCCACGGCGGGCGGGTGTGGGCGCGACCATCGAGTTGCTGATGGAGATGGAGGGATTGTGGGAACGCTTGGGGGCTGTGGTGGGCAGGTGCTGCGCACTGCGGCGCAGTGGCTGCGTTGGACGGGTTTGGCGGTTGGGGAGCGGCTGCGGGGAGGGCCGAAACTAGATTGATTGATTGATTGGTGTTAGGGACCGGAACGATGCTTGATGTCGAACAACGCATAGTGCTGCGTGCACCGGGCGCTGCGAGCGCCGTTGTCACTCCATTGTGCAATCCCTTGACGTGCACGTCGGCCGCGCCGCGGCGGCAGGCCGGCAGAAGGCCTGCAAACGCGCCGCCGAAAAATCCTGAAGCCGGAAAGGCTCTTGGCTCTGGAGCGTGCACTTTCCACAGCTCCGAAAAGGCTTGAAACCCAGAAAGTCTGAAGGCCTGCAAAAGTGTCGTTTCCCGAAGGGCCGTTCGGTGTGGCCGTTGGGCATCTGCCCCCGCTGCTGGAGCTGTGTGAAATGAATGACCAGGCCTCTGCCTTGCACTTTATGCACAGAGCGCGTCCGTGGCCACAGGCACGCCGGAGAAGGTACAATGGGGTGAAAAGAGGAGTGGCGCGGTCGCACATCCCTGGCCAGCTTGCCGATGAAGAGAAAAATCTCTAGAAAAATGAATAATTGAAGACGTGGGCTTTATTCCTGCGCCACACGACGCAGCGTGGGTGCCAGCATGCAACCATCAACCCATCCTAATCCCGCCTATTTGACATCCGCCCAGTTCCGCCCAATCGACACTCTGCAGCTAGCTCATTCCCCCATCAGCGCTGGACAATGAGGGGAGAACATTTCGACCCCAAGCACGGAGCCCAGGGATGCAAACTCCACACGATTCATAACCGCCTGAGGCCCCGCCCCCCATCTCAACTGTCTAGAACCAATTCAAATCGTTCAAGTCCATCCTCCCCGCTTCCAAGCCAATCACTGTCATCCAAACTCGGGTCTTCTGTCCCTGGCGCCCGATGCCGATGTTTGTTCATCGCCAAGGGGAACGGCCATGGCAATCGGCAGGATTCAATGCCTTCAATCCGGCCATTTTGCTCTGCACGATGTCCTCAGAGCAAATCAATTCAAATCATTCAACCCCAGGGCATCGGGTCATTGACCCCTTGACTTAAAGCCCCCACCTCGCGGGGTCCTCTGCTCCACACCTCTTCCAAGCCGCCTCTTGCAAGGCGACGTCCCCATTTGACTTGTGCCCCGCAGAGCCCGGCAGAGGTCGCACGGGGTGTACGACACACTGGCCATCCTGCCCCATTAGCAATTCAAGACTCCTCCTCAGCCTCGAACTCGATCATTCCCAGCGGCCATTCACCCGTCGCCAAAGCCCTCATGGTCCTCCCTGGCCCCCACACCCCACCGCTCTCCACGGATCACCTTCCATCAATTGAACAGAGCGCAGGTACACAGCGAGCACCTCCCTTGAGAGCCACGAGCAACATATCCTTCGGAGAAGCGCGGCCCAGCACCAAGCCAGCGCAACACAGCCCCCACAACGCAATACAGCCGCCACCGCCGGCAAGCCGGGACGACGTGTGTCCATTTCTCGCACGTTTGCTCTCCCGAAAATGGGGGGCTGGGCATTCCTCCCACAATAATGCAGCGCACCACCTACAAACTGGGGTTCGCTTTCAAAAAAATGTGGTAGAACATGGTGCAGTGAAGTACTGAGCATTGTCCCACCATTTCCCAAACAACGTAAGGGACGCCTAGCTTCTTTGCTCTTTTGTCCTTTTCCTCTTTTGCTCCCCTTTCCTCTGTTTCCTTCTTTCAAAGCGTGGTGGAGTGCTTCCTGCTATGCAGCCGCCTCACCGCCGACAAACCAGGGCGTTCTTTCTCCTTTTTTCTTCCTTTTTTCCTTTTTCAATTTTTCTTTTCTTTCTTTCCTTTGAAAAGCCCGTGGCATGCCAAGAAACTGCCGGGAATGTGGCCGGAAGACGGCCCCGAGGACGCCACCCCTGGTCATCGCTTCGTCCGGCACCCGCCCGAGCAGAAGATCGGCCCACCCTGCGCCACGCCGGGCCACGCCCCCCACGCCCCGCACCCCTCGCACTGTCGCACGGCGTCCCTCAGCACCACCTCCAGCCGCCCCACCACCGCCTCCCCCTCCCCCTTCTCCCTCAACGCGTCCAATCCCGCCCTCAGCGCGATCAGCTGATCCCCGGTGATCCCAGCCCCGGCCGCGAGCAGCACGCGCACGCACTCCGCGTGGCGGGCGTCCATCGCATCGGCGCCGCTGGTGAACTGGACCTCGCCGCCGATGCCCATCACGCGGAGGGACTTGCGCACCAGCTTGCAGGGGAACTGCACGGCCCAGGCCATGGGCGTCTGGGCGGCCTCCGGCACGCGGCCGACGAGGCGCTCGACCACGACGGCCGTGGCGTCCACGCGGCAGGGCTTCTCCAGGATGCGGGAGACGTCCTCGCGGGGGCCCATCAGCAGCGCCTGGGCGCCCGCAAAAGCCCATCTCAGCCATCTCGACATTTGTTTCGATTCCGGTTTTTGCATGTTAGTGTTTTTAATTTCATCTCCTGCTATTTGAAGATTAGGTTTGGATTTGTCAGGGTTCTTTTATTTCTTAGTGTTTTGCTAGGTTTTAAGTTTTAACTTTTTCATCTTTTTGAGGTTTTTGGCGGGTATTTAGGTTTTTTAGTCTGAAGCTTTTTAGGCTGGGTTTGCTTTTTCTTTGGTTTTTTGGCTTTTTTTAAGCTTTTTTGGGTTTTCTAGGTTTTCTACGTTTGGTAGGTTTTCTCTAGAAAACCTAGAGGTTTGTATTTTTGTCAACTTTTTGCCGTTACTAGGGCTTTTTGAGGTTTGGTATACAAACCTAGAGGTTTGTATTTTTTTTAACTTTTTGCCGTTACTAGGGCTTTTTGAGGTTTGGTATATCACTTGTTATTCTTGCGACGGCGACCGTGCATACCCTGTCTAAAAACCCATCGCCACAAGCGCCAGGCTGCAAATTGAAAGCAGCGCTTCAGAACGAGAAAAAACCCACCTGCAGGCACTCCGGCCTCCCATAGGCGCACGCCAGGAGCAGAGGGTTCGGGAAGTCCTCCCCGACCTGCAGCACCTCCTCCAGCCGCATATGGCCGGTCTCGATGTCCGCGCCATGCTCCATCAGCAGGCTGACGATCGAGGGGTGGTCCATCAGCACGGCCAAGTGCAGCAGCGTCAGACCCCGGCGGGTCTTCATGTCGATGTTCACGCGCGTGCCTGAAGTCAACAGTGTCTGGCACACAAGAAGGGAGGATCAGAGGACTGCTGTGTTAATGTGCAACATGGTCCAGTGCTGCCGGCCAAAGAGACGTAGCGTGGCGATTGAGTGTGCAGGGCGTTGTGCAATGACGGCCACGGTGCGGCGATGGAGTCTCAGGAAGCTGCACAGTGACGAGAGCTGCGAGCTGATCACCAGATTAGAAATGGTAAAGTGGTCGGATGCAGTGAACACGGTGGAATCGCATGTTGCGGCTGCTCAACTACTGGCTGCATGAGGTCATCATGCAAATTGGATTTCAGCAACTTCCAGCCAGTCCTTGATCGCGGCTCGAATGCCGCTGCACTGGTTCGCCAACTATGGATGCTCTCCAACGAAAATAGAAAGAAGTCACAATGCTATCGCTTTTGTAGGCCATTCTTTGAGGATTCAGCATTGGTGCAAACGCACCAAGCCAGCGTTCTGTTCTAAACAATGTCTGCCACCTCTACCAACAAACTCTTGGAGAAGATTGTTCCTGCGACTTGCACCAGGGCTAACTGTCTGGGGCTGAGCATCAAACCCACCATCTGCCTGAACATATTCCAGACTTTTCAAGACGCTTGCGGCATATCTGCAAAACCTGGCCCTGCGAATGCTTTCCATTTTCTCTTTATTGCCATCCCCATGACAAAATTGCACCCAGGACATACAAGCACCCGCTGTAATAGCAGTGTAAAATCATAGTCTGTCATAACTCACCGTCTTGCCCTGAGACACATCTCTTAATGTATGATCATCAACAATCTGCCTCAGGATACTTGAAAATGGCTGTTCATTGGTGCAATGCCTGAGTTCTCACAGTACTCTTGCTGACCCATTGCCACTCTGGCAGTTCGAGTGCATCAAACCCACGCCAAAACTACCAAAAGCGCTGCAGTTTCGCCAGAAAGAGTGCTCTGCATATGCAGAGTCCGAGGCCCACCTGCACACAATCCGCATGCCCTGCCATGGCTGCCACCCACAGCGGCGTCTGTCCGCCCTTTCCCCACCCCTTGGTTGGCTTGTTGGGGTCAGCGCCCTGCTTCAGCAGGCACGACACGATCGCCAGCTCCCCAAGCTCGCAGGCAACCTGCGGAGTGGTGCAACGCCCTTCACTCATCGCACCGCCAATTAGTGACTGTTGATTTCATCCACTGCATTTGTTGCAAGTGCACAACGAACAAGGCCTTGAACCCCAAGCCAGGGACCTTAAAGTCACAGCAGGCATAACGGCAGCTAACTGTCGTTTCATCTGTCATTCTTGAACACGAGCTCGCGACATCAACTTTGCTCCCAGTCCCCTTTCAGCCAGTGCTCCACAATTCGGCATTAAATGTGCGCACATCGGCTGAACTTCCAACCGCCTTCCCTCCTCCGCAACCTGGCAGTTCCAAGGACCTGATTCCAGGCGTGAACTCTGCCAAACAAACCAAAACCGGACTGCATTTTCCAGGCGGGTGGCCAAAGCCTTGCATATCTTCATTTGGGGCAGGCGTGGCACCTGGACTCCTAAACGTGATGCAACATTTGGAATCAAACAAGGGAAACAAGCTGCAGCCCATCCCACCTGCAGCGCTGTCTGGCCTTTGCTGTTATACTCATCCAGGTATTGGCTCAGCCCTGCCATTTTAGCCTTCTCGCAGATGATCCACACCATGCTCAGGTGGCAATTCTGCACAGCCAGCACCAGGGGCGTGTTGCCAGCGGCATCAGGGATCCGCAAATCGGCGCCCTTGGCCACAAGGGCCTCAGCGATCTCGTCGCGGCCCATTCCTGCAGCCGCCAGTAAAGTATTGTCTCATTCAAAATTCCGTTGTGAAAGGAGGGCAACATGCAGTGCAAGAACCAGAACCCTCCCGAGACCGACATCTTCGTGAGAATCTGCTTTTAGGGAAGTGTTGCTCAAATGGAAGAATCCATAAGAAACACATGCCAATCCTGAGTGCCAGCTGTGGACTGGCACCCTTTTCCAACCACTGTGAAAGATGATAGAGAAGGCCCTGAGCGCAATTGGCAAGGAATGCAGTAGAAAGGGCATTGGCATCTGTGTGCAGCAGTGATTGGGTGCACCATGCACAAATCAGCATTCTTTACATCCACAAAAGAACAGCACAGTGGCACATTGAACAAAGAGACATAAAGATGTGAAGCAAAGTTGTATTCTGGAACGGTCCTTCAGAGCAATTGCGCCACTGGCCTTCTGCTTCAGACAGAAATGCACCAGCAGACCTTACAATCTTATTCTGGGGCTGAAATGGCACTGTGGGCAAACCACTGGCCATTCCATTCCAGCACGTGCATCAAGTGGGCACAGTTCATCGACTTTACTGCAAA